ATTTAAAGACAAAGCCCTAATCAAAGCTTATTGTTTTATAATGCTTACTTACTTTACTTACTAGTTATAAAGTTCAACTATTGGGTTGGTGAATTGAAAACTGCGGGCTAATGTCATAGTGTGACAGTTTGAGCACTTTCTTCAAAGAAACCCATTTTGTGTCAATGGAAAAGTTGTAGAGAATCAAAAATCAAGCTTATATCCAAATTTTCAGAACGATTCAAAAACTGGTTTTCAAGAAATGCCAAATTTTCGAATGCCAATGCGAATTTTCACTTAAAACTTGCATTTTAAGCACTACTAAGTGTATCTTTTTGGAAATTTGGCTATAAGCCTAATTTTTGATTCTCTACAACTTTTCTATTGACACCAAAATGGGTTTCTTTTGAAGAAAGTGCTCAAACTGGGATCTCCAGTCTCCAGTCTCCAGTCCTCCATTTTTGAGTCTCACACTTGTCTCACACACAAACCAAAATCTTACTACGAAAGAGGAATCAAATTGCCTGTAAAATGGGCAGAAGTCGTCAATAATAATGGAAATTATTTGGAATGAATTCATGGTTTTATATTGAATAAATTTTAGTTCAAAGTCCCGCAGTTTTCAATTCACCAACCCAATAGTTTGCAGCTAAAGCCTTAAAGCTCCTGAAGAAGAATAGGCTCTCCAAGTCAAAGATCGCTCTCCTCCATCACAACGCGCGCCCTCATGTTGCAAAACTGACTCGCGCTAAAATAAATAGCCTTGTTTGGGAAATTTTGTCGCATCCCCATACAGTCCGGACCTCGCCCCTTTTGATTACTATTTATTCCGGATCATGAGTAACGAGCTTGCGGGAGAACACTTCGATTTGGAAGAAGCAGTCAAAAATTGGCTTTGAAAGTTTTTCGATTCAAAACCAAAATCCCACTACAAAAGAGGAATCAAATTGCCTGTAAAATGAGCAGAAATCGTCAATAATAATGGAAATTATTTGGAATGAATTGATGCTTTTATGTTGAATAAATTTTAGTTCAAAGTCCCGTTCAAAGTCAAAGTCAAAGTTTTCAATTCACCAACCCAATAGTTTAAATAAAAAGTAAAGGCTCAAAACGCGAACAATTCAATCGAAAATGGTTTTTTGTAAAAAAAGAAAGTGAAAGTTGCCGATTTCATTCTCTTTTTAATCAACACTTGTCATCACTAATTGCCAAAAAGCGCTCTTGAGTACAGTTGAATGAAAAGGAAAAACTGGAAATCTTTTGGAAAGTCGAACAGATCAAATATCGATCTAAGATGTCAAAAATTTAGGCGAAAATAAATAGAAAACTGTTTCAAATTTTGATCTATGAGTTTCAAATTGATTTCAATTTGATTTTTTTGAGGTGAAGAGAATGAAATGATCAAAGAAACAAAGTGATAAAAGGATTTTTGAAAACGGAAACGCTACTTCATAAAACAAGCAAACAAGCACCCCATTTTTGTCCTTCACAATTGTCCACAATTGTCCACAATTGTCCACAATTGTCCACAATTGTCCACAATTGTCCACAATTGTCCACAATTGTCCACAATTGTCACAACTGTCCAAAATTCTAAAATCACAGCTCAATATCTTTTTTATATCATCTACAAAGCTAAAGAAGAATCCCTATAAATGACTAGCGATATGTTCTTTCTGCGATCGCTAACGATCTAGCATACGCCCTCGGTATATAAGGCTTCCCTTTTCGAGTCCGTAAAGGAAAAGAGTCGATGAGCGACTGAACCAGTTTCGCCGTTTTCGTTATTATGTCCAAATTCCTGAGAAAGGTATAAGACCCCCTTCTGCCATCCGCCAAACACATGGGAGTCTAGCTCATTGGTAGTGCACTCGCTCGGTAAGCGAGAGATCGCGGGTTCGAATCCCGGCAACGACGATCTTTTGGATTCTCAGCGTCATATATTTTTGTATTCATAAAAGAATAAATAGAGGGAAAAGGAGAAAGAATGTGAAACTTCTGGAATCGATTTCTGACTCAAATTTGTATCAATATTTACGATAAATAGTACCTGTATATTACGATAAATAACTAAAACTAGTTGAGACACTCAGAATTGAAAATAACCGGAAAAGCTGATTTCATTCTTTAATACTTGATAAATTCTTGAATGATTGATTTAAAGCGATTGATTTGAAGCCGATTTACCGAGAATCGGTCCCAATTCGGCTCCTCCTTTCAGTAGAGTGAAAAGAATTAGTTTTAAAGAAACAATCAGCTTTAAAGAAACAATCAGCTTTAAAGAAGCGATCAGTCATCCAAGAATCGAGAAATGACAATGAAAAGATTACAATAGCATCAATTGATTCCATTCAATTGCTCATTCAATTGCTCATGCCATTGCTCATTCAATTGCTTTACGACCTTTGCAATGCTGTAAATTCAAAGTTAAACTTTTAAGAACAATGCTGAATTCTAAGCTGAATTCTAAGCTGAATTCTAAGCTGAATTCTAAGCTGAATTCTAAGCTGAATTCTAAGCTGAATTCTAAGCTGAATTCTAAGCTGAATTCTAAGCTAAACTCTTAAGAACTTCAATCGAAAAACTAGAACTTTTTTTGAGGTATGTAATCAAAAATCTGAATCTTTAAGACGAAAACGCGAAATCTGACTCTTTAAGATTAATGAAAGAGTCAAAAAGTGACAAAAAAAGTGTTTCGGTATTTTTTTACCTATTCCCGACGGGAATAGGCTCATTTTTGTCGTATTTTAAACTCAAATTTCGACCTCAAATCCCTCAAATCAAATCCCTCAAAGCCATCAAAAGCTGAACAGCTTGATTCGAAAACTCCCAATATAAAATTCAATGATAAAGTTTAAGGGGGCATAACGAAGCGCATATTGACCATCTCAACCATTACATTGTTGACAAATCAACGAGAAACATCCTAGACTTTAGAAAAATTACAGAATAAGGAAAATTACAGAATAAGTACAGATTAAAGTTTTACAAATTGCTCTTTGTAGTGCACTTTTTGCTTTACTAAACGAAAAATACTCTTTCTGGCGCAATGAATTCATCTTTTCTCAAATAAACGATGAGAAAATGACGTTTTTTTGGCGTGTTTTGGCGGAAAAATGTGAAATTTAAGTGCACCGGAACGAACGCTTATGTTTTTAAATACAAAGTATGCATATAAAATAACAAAATTAGACTCATGAAAAGAACAGAATCCGACAAGGGATCCAATTTACGCTCTTTGCAATGAAGCCATTTGAAGCAATGAAGCTATTGCAATGAATTTGATAGAAAAAAGAGCTGAGTTTTCTTTTGGCTGAAAAACACAAAAAGTCGCTTCGTTCTAATGAAAAAAGCGAGGAAAAGGAAAAGGAAAAAAAAAGGAAAACAAAAAAAAAGAAAACCCGACGGGAATAGGCTCATTTTTGTTGTATTTTAAACTCAAATTTCGGTCTCAAATCCCTTTTCTAGTGTAGCCCAGTTTTCTAGCATAACCCAGTGAGAAACCGAGTGTTGTGAGCAAATGCAATGCTGTAGATTCCCTCGTTTAAATCCACAACCATCCGACTCCTTTGTGTGCTCAAAGAAAGGCAATTTCAAGCATCGTTAACGCGATTTCTTTTGAAAAAGGATGGAAAAAAAGATTGAAAATCGACTTTCTGATAGTAAAAATAGTGAAAAATAGTGAAAAATCGTGAAAAATCGTGAAAAATTGTAGCTTTAAGTTTCATTAAAAAAGATGAATCTTGCAAATCTTTCTTTTCTTTTTCAGCATCAATGAAATCCAAGCAATACCAGCAATACCAAGAAATACCGGATTTCCCCCAGCATTGATATGCAAATTTCCCGGCAAATCTCGATTCATTTCATTCAAGTGCCTTTCATTTTTGCCTTTCATTGAAAAGCAAAGAGATTTTTCGGTGGCTAAGAGTGTGATAAAATGAAAGAAATTCAAGATAGTTCTTTTTTTTGTTTATTAAGAATTATGGCGAATGGTGGCGAATTGCCACTGGAAATTTATAATTTCCCATTTTAGAAATTCAATATGTAACGCATATTACATAGATTAGAGATAGATTAGATTAGATTAGAGATAGATTAGATTAGATTAGAGATGGATTAGATTAGATTAGAGATAGATTAGATTAGATTAGAGATGGATTAGATTAGATTAGAGATAGATTAGAGATAGATTAGATTAGATTAGAGATAGATTAGATTAGATTAGAGATAGATTAGATTAGATTAGAGATGGATTAGATTAGATTAGGGATAGATTAGATTAGATTAGAGATAGATTAGATTAGATTATAGATAGATTAGATTAGATTAGAGATAGATTAGATTAGATTAGAGATAGATTAGATTAGATTAGAGATAGATTAGATTAGATTAGAGATAGATTAGATTAGATTAGAGATGCATGCAAATTTCGGGGAAGTATAACGGTAAAGTATCCTTTAAACTCACTTGAATAGGCAACTTCAGAATTCAGATGAGAATAAGCACCACCTAGACCTGTCGGACAAACGCAAGTGTTGCAAGTATTCGGATTCGTGTAGCCTCATTTTTACAAGGAAGTGGTGGATCGCAACGTGCTAAAACTAGCGAAATTCATGCGAAATTTAGAAAACGCATTAGCCGATAGGAACTGTGGCGAATTGCCACTGCTCTGCAGTTAGTCAAAATTGAATAAACAAGTCAAAATTCAAAGTTGATGAATAAACTACCGTAATCAGCCACTAGACGATATTCAGTTGACCGTTTGTCGTAGCTTGTGTACTTAAAAACCCATTATTTAAGCTTTGTTTTGAGTCATTTGTGTGCTCCCTTTTCTATTCATCCCTTTCTATTCATCATTTCAAACGCAAGTGTTGAAGTGATTGTGATAGTGCCAGGTCGCTCCAGTTTGAGCGAAGTTTGCCCTAATAAGGGAGAGTTTTGATAAAGATTTGTTCCTTTTCTCTACAGATTTGGTTCCTTTTCGGTATAGATTTGTTCTGAGCCGCTCCAGCTCCAGTCTAAGCTGCTCTCGTCTGCGCTGCTCCAACTCCAGTCTGAGCTGCTCCAGTCTGCGCTGCTCCAACTCCAGTCTGAGCTGCTCCAGTCTGAGCTGCTCCAACTCCAGTCTGAGCTGCTCCAACTCCAGTCTGAGCTGCTCCAGTCTGCGCTGCTCCAACTCCAGTCTGAGCTGCTCCAACTCCAGTCTGAGCTGCTCCAGTCTGAGCTGCTCCAACTCCAGTCTGAGCTGCTCCAGTCTGAGCTGCTCCAACTCCAGTCTGAGCTGCTCCAACTCCAGTCTGAGCTGCTCCAGTCTGAGCTGCTCCAACTCCAGTCTGAGCTGCTCCAGTCTGAGCTGCTCCAACTCCAGTCTGAGCTGCTCCAGTCTGAGCTGCTCCAACTCCAGTCTGAGCTGCTCCAACTCCAGTCTGAGCTGCTCCAGTCTGAGCTGCTCCAACTCCAGTCTGAGCTGCTCCAACTCCAGTCTGAGCTGCTCCAGTCTGAGCTGCTCCAACTCCAGTCTGAGCTGCTCCAACTCCAGTCTGAGCTGCTCCAGTCTGCGCTGCTCCAACTCCAGTCTGAGCTGCTCCAACTCCAGTCTGAGCTGCTCCAGTCTGCGCTGCTCTAACTCCAGTCTGAGCTGCTCCAACTCCAGTCTGAGCTGCTCCAGTCTGCGCTGCTCCAACTCCAGTCTGAGCTGCTCCAACTCCAGTCTGAGCTGCTCCAACTCCAGTCTGAGCTGCTCCAGTCTGCGCTGCTCCAACTCCAGTCTGAGCTGCTCCAACTCCAGTCTGAGCTGCTCCAGTCTGCGCTGCTCCAACTCCAGTCTGAGCTGCTCCAGTCTGCGCTGCTCCAACTCCAGTCTGAGCTGCTCCAACTCCAGTCTGAGCTGCTCCAGTCTGAGCTGCTCCAACTCCAGTTTGAGCGAAGTTTGCCCTAATAAGGGAGAGTTTTGATAAAGATTTGTTCCTTTTCTCTACAGATTTGGTTCCTTTTCGGTATAGATTTGTTCTGAGCCGCTCCAGCTCCAGTCTAAGCTGCTCTCGTCTGCGCTGCTCCAACTCCAGTCTGAGCTGCTCCAGTCTGCGCTGCTCCAACTCCAGTCTGAGCTGCTCCAGTCTGAGCTGCTCCAACTCCAGTCTGAGCTGCTCCAACTCCAGTCTGAGCTGCTCCAGTCTGCGCTGCTCCAACTCCAGTCTGAGCTGCTCCAGTCTGAGCTGCTCCAACTCCAGTCTGAGCTGCTCGAGTCTGAGCTGCTCCAACTCCAGTCTGAGCTGCTCCAACTCCAGTCTGAGCTGCTCCAACTCCAGTCTGAGCTGCTCCAGTCTGAGCTGCTCCAACTCCAGTCTGAGCTGCTCCAACTCCAGTCTGAGCTGCTCCAGTCTGCGCTGCTCCAACTCCAGTCTGAGCTGCTCCAACTCCAGTCTGAGCTGCTCCAGTCTGCGCTGCTCCAACTCCAGTCTGAGCTGCTCCAACTCCAGTCTGAGCTGCTCCAACTCCAGTCTGAGCTGCTCCAGTCTGCGCTGCTCCAACTCCAGTCTGAGCTGCTCCAACTCCAGTCTGAGCTGCTCCAGTCTGCGCTGCTCCAACTCCAGTCTGAGCTGCTCCAACTCCAGTCTGAGCTGCTCCAGTCTGAGCTGCTCCAACTCCAGTTTGAGCGAAGTTTGCCCTAATAAGGGAAAGTTTTGATAAAGATTCGTTCCTTTTCTCTACAGATTTGGTTCCTTTTCGGTATAGATTTGTTCCTTTTCTCTACAGATTTGATTCCTGGAGGGTGCTAGTGCCAGGTTGCTGATAGTGCCAGGTTGCTCCAGTTTGAGCGAAGTTTGCCCTAATAAGGTAAAGTTTTGATAAATTGTGCGTTTTGCAAGACATCTACCATTGAACCACAACCAAAACGGCTTCCCATTCTCGTTTTTCCGTAACAAATGACTGGGTAACGGTGAAAAATGCCTCAAAGCTTGATCAAGTGACAAAAGATCAAGCCAATTTGACTCATCATCGACTTTTTTCTGTCGCAAATCTGAAATATAAAGATCAGAGTATAAATATATTTCTTAGAAGAATTTTTATTCTTTAAAAAGTTACCAGCTGAGTCGAAAGCATGGAAAAATCAGCTCAACAGGTAAATTCTTGTTTTGAATGCTCTTTTATCAGGAAAGTTTGGCCGCTAAATCTCTAAACCCAAAAACTTTGGTAAATAAAGATATTGTGACTTAGTGTTTTTTTAAAAACAAGCACAAATAGTGGAGTTTGTTCAGTGAGAATCTAAACAACTAAACAACAAGTAAAACTGAAATGTAATTCTAGCGTTTTTCATGTCTGAAAGGGTAATTATGGACTTTTTCCCCCGTAAATTCCTAAATTTGCATTATTCCTTAATATGAAGCCATCTGAATTGTGAATTTGAAGCCAATTTGAAGCCAATTTGAAGCCAGTTTGAAGCCAATTTGAAGCCAATTTGAAGCCAATTTGAAGCCAGTTTGAAGCCAGTTTGAAGCCAGTTTGAAGCCAATTTGAAGCCAGTTTGAAGCCAATTTGAAGCCAATTTGAAGCCAATTTGAAGCCAATGCCAATTTCCATAATTTGCATTTAAAAAAATGTAAAAGGCGTAATTCTTGGTTTTTTTTAAAAAAGCATTGCAAAAGTACCTTCTAAACATTAAGCTGGACTTGTTTTTCAGCTGAGAACATTGTAGCAAATCTTTCAAAAGCTTAGCAAAGAAATCGGTTCCCTTGTTACGTTGGCGACACGCCAGTGCCAAATTCGAGAAGATACGCATCGAGATCATCACGATGATGTTCCTCCACTTTGCGCTTTCCCAAAAACGCTCAATGTTTTGCGCTATTTTCCTGTAGATTAAAAAAAATCCGAAACCCGAAAACAGGCTTGGACCTGACTTCTGATATTTGGAATGCCGAGATCCGACTGGTGTTTGCACTCCGAACTTATCCTGAAATGCCAGCCCCAGTCTGGATCATTCCCTTGTCAAGTCTAAACCATGGTCCAAACCTGACCTGGCGTCACAGGGCTTCTTGGCTTTTCTGGCTCTGTGGAAAGGCTATAAATGTTAGGGTTGTCCGAAATTTCTCCTAGTCTACCCTGGCTTTGCTGTAGATTTTGCTTCGCTATTTTGTATACTATCTTGTCATTCATTAGTAGATTACAAAAATCCGAAATTAGAAACCAGGTTTGGACCTGACTTCTGGTTGAGCTCCTCTGGCTTACAGGCTCGGTTTGAACAACCTGGTAGAGTTTTATTCTGTTTACTATCTTGCCATTCATTAGGTCTTTACATGGAACAGTTTGTCGCGATAACGGTAGTGTAGTTACAGAAATTGACAAGACAGCAGCTCTCGCTCTGTGACTGATGACTGATTGATGATGTGCGCAATGGAAAAACAACTCCTTTATCTACAAAACGACCAAGTTTACACTATAAAACTTGGGTAATTAAATTGAAATAGATTGAAATTGATTGAAATAGATTGAAATTGAATGAAATTGATTGAAATTGATTGAATTGAATGAATTGAAAACAACAAAACAAAAAGATAAGATGAATGAAACAAAACAAAAAGATAAGATGAAAGAAAAATGAGCAACCGGGTAAAGAAGTGCTAAAAGTGCTTTTACAATGTCAAGCTAACTGGGAGGTAGTCAAATGAGCGCCAACAATTGGGCGCCAATCATTTCAGCGCCAACGATTTGGCTCACGCTTATTTCAGCGCCACTCATTTGAGCGCCGTGCCAAAAATGACTGGAAAACAATCATTTGAGCGCCAAATTAAAAAGGCCTAAAAACGTTCATTTAAGCGCCGGGCCAAAAATGACTGGAAAACGTTCATTTAAGCGCGACTAAATTTTAATATTTTTGCTTTCTACGCTGCTTTTGCATGTTTTTTAGGGTTTTGCTTCTGTTTTTACATTTTTTCACTCATTTGACCTAGGGGCACGGCAGTAGGCACCAAATGCGCGGAAAAAAATTGTTAGATTAGCTCGTATTTAAGGTTTTTTTGATGAAAATGTGTAAATTTGCTAGTTGTATGATATTTTCCCCCAATAGCATGCTTTTTCACCGTTTCTTGCCGTTTTCGTTTACAATTTGCTTACAGTTAACATAGTTCTTTGCTTAGGCTCGTGAACTGCGCAAGAAGTGGCGAGACAAAGGAACACTCTGAGTCAAAGTAACGTTTTGTTCATGATTTATTTTGGTTTATTTTGCTGCCAAGAATTATTTTTATCTTTAGATGATTTAGATAAAAACATACAGTAAAAACTTTGAGATCATGCAGAAAATGCAAAAATAACATGCATATACAGAATGGGCTGATTCGGCGCTGAAATGAATGTTTTCCAGTCATTTTTGGTGCGGCGCTGAAATGAACGCGCGCTAAAATGATTGGCGCTGAAATGATTGGCGCTGAAATGATTGGCGCTCAATTTTTGGCGCTCATTTGACTACCTCCCAGCTAACTTGTTTCAGAGTGTTGGAAAGATGGAAATAACGAAATAACTCACTAAGCTTGGCTACGGTAGCCGGGACGTGCAATAGGATCTCGAAATCTCGTCATCGATATGTGATGGATGCCGATGGGCACACAATTTCGCAACTATCAGAGCACAGCTGTTTTGCAATTTCTCTTTACGAGAGAGAGATAGACAGTACGTTGAGTTTAGCGCCAAAAAACGGATCGATTTGCCCTCTCTTTATGGGTTATTTAAGTGGTTATTTAGATTTATTTATTTATTTAGAGTAACGTGCGTTTCCTGGCACTAATCCTGACTCAAATCCTTTCTGATCCTGACTCAAATCCTTTCCAAAATGCGTCTTCAATTCTCCAATCTACCAAATGAAATTCAAAACTCGATTCTCAATCGTGTCGACGCCAAGGAATCACTTTTATTTCTGAAAGCAAATAGGGAACTTCGAAATTTCGTCATCCGAAATGGGCCATTGATCGAGAATCTTGAAGAAATCAGTTTCAATCAATCAATCAAACAATCGAAATCAATCAAACAATCAAAATCAATCAATCAATTCATCAATTGCTCAAAATTCTCTGAGAATTTCTATGAAAACAATTTCGTGGTAAACATTTGCACAAAAAACGGCTTCTCATTCTCATTTTTTGTAGCAAATAACAGGATAACGGTGAGAAATGATCAAGTGACAAATCTTGATCACTCAAATCTTGATCAAGTAACAAAAGCAAATCATCATCAACTCCTTTCTGTCGCAAATCTGCAAACGAGTAAACCCTGGGCTTTCTTGAATCTCTTAAAATCTTGTAAACTATTGAAGATCCATTTAAGGCCCAGTACTAACCACAACGAATCTCAATCTCAACTCTTGGCTCTTCAAAAGTTCACCAAGAAGTTGAAAGCACTAAAATGCTTTCTTTTTACTTCAGAATTGAAATCAGCAAAAGTTTTGCTTTCACAATTTAACGCAAATATTAGTGAAACTTGGATGTCAACGATTTTTGGTGATTTGGAGGATTTAAAGCTTTCACTTCCGAAAATCATCATTTATCCAATCAAAAGCGATTGTCGTTTACTTTTTGCCATCCATCAGCCAACACTTTATATCTATGAGCAATTGAAAAGTTCGAATTTGCAACAAATTCTTGATCAAATTGAGGAGAGAGAAGTTTTCGAGGAAACAGTAAAGATTTACTTATCTCAAGGCATTCCAAGCAATTTCAAACAGCCAGCTGTTGCTTTAAACTATTCTCATAAAGTTAAAGGAGATGTTTTAAAGAATGTTCCAAAGAATGTTTTAGAGAATGTTCCAAAGAATGTTTCAAAGAACATTTTTCAAAATCTCATTGATTTAATCAAAGAAACTGGAATGGTGGAAATTGGAGAGCGAACGAAAGAGGCAAGATTCATCGCTCAGTACACCCAGTTGTTCAAGTACGGCTTCAATTGTGAGCATTTGGAGCGCATTTGGGCGACTTCGTTGAACCCAAAAGATTATCGAAGATGTTTATTCTTTAAAAAACGAATATCTGACTTGATCGTTTGTTTCTTGCAAGTGTCGCTTGAAGAAGGAAACGATTATGAAGAAGATTTCGCATTGAAAATGCAATTGATGATGAAATATTTTTTCGCCGATCAATTTGAATAGGTTTTTATTGTTTTTTTATAGCATTCATTGATCATTTAACACTTTATTTTTCATTATTTTCTTATTTATTTCAAATTCTCTTATTTATTTCGAATTTTCTTTACCTTATGCTTTTTTGTTTTAAGTAGAGTTCTCATTGTTGGAAAGAGAGCCTTTTAGGGTAATGGAATGAAGATTAGGGTAATGAAAATGAAGATTAAGGCAATGGGAATCAAGATTAAGGTAATGAAAATGAAGATTAAGGTAATGGGAATGAAGACCAGCGCTCAAAGATCTTTCCAAAAATAAAAACATTACAAATCTCAGCGAATAAGTGTTGTATACGGTTCGAAAGCCCTAAATCTCCTCTACCAAATAGCGCAAAAAGATTTTAAAGTAGATTGATTCTTGAAGGCTTTGGTGTCTTTTAAGTTGAGAAGTCAAAAATGACCTTTTTCTGGAAAATGTGTTTCTGATAATAGCCATGCCCAGGTTTTCCGTGGAAAAATCCAACAAATTAAAGTTATTTCAAAGTAATCTAAAAGAAAAGAAGTCTAGAGTTCTAGAAAGGAACTCTAGAACTCTAGAAAGGAACTCTAGAACTCTAGAAAGGAACTTTAGAACTCTAGAACTCTAGAAAGAAATTCTAGAACTCTAGAACTCTAGAACTCTAGAAAGGAACTCTAGAACGCTAGAAAGGAACTCTAGAACTCTAGAAAGGAACTCTAGAACTCTAGAAAGGAACTCTAGAACTCTAGAAAGGAACTCTAGAACTCTAGAACTCTAGAAAGGAACTTTAGAACTCTAGAACTCTAGAAAGAAATTCTAGAACTCTAGAACTCTAGAACTCTAGAAAGGAACTCTAGAACGCTAGAAAGGAACTCTAGAACTCTAGAAAGGAACTCTAGAACTCTAGAAAGGAACTCTAGAACTCTAGAACTCTAGAAAGGAACTCTAGAACTCTAGAAAAGAACTCTAGAACTCTAGAACTCTAGAAAGGAACTCTAGAACTCTAGAAAGGAACTCTAGAACTCTAGAAAGGAACTCTAGAACTCTAGAAAGGAACTCTAGAACTCTAGAAAGGAACTCTAGAACTCTAGAAAGGAACTCTAGAACTCTAGAAAGGAACTCTAGAACTCTAGAAAGGAACTCTAGAACTCTAGAAAAGAACTCTAGAACTCTAGAACTCTAGAACTCTAGAACTCTAGAAGGAAACTCTAGAACTCTAGAACTTCGTCTTCTAGAGCTAAATCTTTGTTTTTTTAAAAAGCTCGATTTTAGGCCAAAAATATCAAATATTATTAGAAGAAAATTTGAGAAAAAGTTATAGTTTAGTTTTTTTTTTTCAAAACTTTGTCCAAAGACACCGCTATTTCATACCGCTTTCTAGGTGCCTTTTAGAAAACGCTTTAGATGAAAAGAACCTTGTTTTTGGTTTTAAACTAATGTTTAACCTGAATTTTATTCTTTTTTCATTGTATTTTTTACTTCTTGCTCTTTTTTAGGAAATTTAACTTGAGCAATAAACGTTTAAAAAGCTTTAAATCAAAAACACCTCAAAAATCTCAAATCTACGTTTGATTCATTTAAACAAATCAACTCCAAACAATCATGATGTCAAATTTTTCCATAACAAAGTGAAAATTTGACAATTGTCAAAAGTTGAAGTGCTGAAAGATTTCTACTCTAATACTGACTTAAAATTCTGTTAAGACATTTGCTGAGATGCTGAGTACAAAAAAAAATGGTGACAACCCAACTTTAAATCCCTTTAGCTCGCGTGTCTTCTGTAAATTGATATGGAGAATCGATTGGCGGTGGTTAAAAGTTTTCTGGATAATTGCTAAGTGTTTAAAACCTCTGTCTCTGCCTAAAGCCTCTGCCTTTGCCTTAAACCTCTGTCTCTGCCTATAGTCTCTGCCTTTGTCTTAAACCTCTGTCTCTTCCTAAAGCCTCTGCCTTTGTCTTAAACCTCTGTCTCTGCCTAAAATCCCTAAATTAGTAAATTTAGTAAAGCTTCATTGTAGCCACGATGTAGCCTAAAGATTTTGTTAAATTTTCTTTTTGGGTATAAATTAATTGAGCGCTTCTGGACAAAGCTCTAGCGATTCTCTCAAAAACAAAAAAAAAAACCCTGGCTACAGGCCTGCTTGGTAGTGTCGAAACTGTTTCTGTGACAGTTTGTTTAGAGAGGCTTTCTCGCGCAAACACATCTATTCTTTTCCAGTCTTTTTCCCCGCTCTTTAACTCATTCGATTGATTTTGATGGACCGGAAAAAGCTTCGCTAAACGGTGAGTAATTGCTTTAAGTTTGAGTTTTGCTTAGGTTTTGCTTCTCGTTTTACTCGATTTTTACCTTTTGAAACTTGAATTAGTGTTTTACTCACAGTTTTTCTCTGTACTTTGTGCTTTCAATCGAAACATACCCTTTCTGGTACATCAATTCTTCGTTTTTTCTTTTCTTTACCTGAAAAATGAATGAATCAATCAATTCTTGCTCAGCTCAGCTCAAAATTCTCAACGATTTGCAAGAAAAGAAAAGAATGCGATAGAAATGTTATGTTTACCCATCCAATTCATCAAAGAAATTATGGAAATTATGGAAAACAAAACAAAACAAAACAAAAAAGTTATAGATTAGCAATTTCGTGACAACAATTTTGATCTGTCGTCGCATTTAGGTGTTCCTATTTTGCGCAGATCACAACCTGCTTCCACATTTCTCTATCTCTTGCTCTTGTCGTCTAGTGTTTCCTATCTTGGGTGTTCCTGGTTCGAAGTCTTCGACTTGCTTGTGCTGGTGGTGGTTGCACTCTAGCCATCCTTTCTCTGACCGTCTCTGCCACTCTTGTGCTCCACCTCGTTTGCTGGTCTTCCGATGGGCCTCTTCTGGTCTCGTGGCAGCCACTCTGTAATCCATATCGTCCATCTGTCGTCTGTTCTTCTGGTTACGTGGCCGGCCCATCTGAGTCTTCTTCTCTCGATCACTTCCACTGGATCTCTGAGTCCCGAGCGCTGGCGATATCCATACTTCTAGGGTCTTGATCGAGCTGCGTCTTCCTATTGTGCCCGAGGAGATTCCTTTCAAGGGCTCGATGCGTCGTTCTCAGGGCTCGTTCGGTGGTCTGTGTCGTGGCCCAGGTCTCTGTCCCATAGCAGAGTGCCGGGAGGACGGTACTGTCGAAGAGGTATGCCCGAGTCCTCTGGTGATTCTTGAGTATCTTTGTGACTTCTTTGATTCTTCCTAGTGCTGTCCAAGCCGCTCGTCTTCTTCTGGCGACTCCTGGCGTCTCCCTTCATGTTTATGCTTCTTCCGAGCTAGGTGTAGGAGGTGACTTCTTCAATTATCTTCCAGCTTGATCTCTCCAGGTGGGCACCATACGTTCCTCATGCTCTGAGTCTTTTTCTTGTTCATCTCGAGGCCAATCTTCTTGCTGACTCGGCTGAGGTCTTCTAGCATCCGTTGGGCTTCTGCTGGTGTCTTGGCGCAGAGCACGATGTCGTCTGCGAAGCGTAGGTTGGTGATGTTCCTGCCGTCTACCTGGATGCCGTAGTCGAGGTCTTTCATGGCATACTGGAGAACCGTGGTGAAGAGCTTGACAACAAATTGAGAACTAAATTCGAAATTCTAAAACCTATTTTTAGAAAATTGAAATATCTAGTGAGCTTTTGAAATATCTAGATTTCTGTGTTTCCATTTTGAAAACAAATTAGAGCAAAGTACAGTCTAGAAACAGGACTATTTGCTTGCTTGCTTGCTTGCTTGCTATTGTTTCTCATTTCTTTCTTTTTGAATGATCAGATCGGCAAAGAAAGTGTGAATGATCGATCAACTTCCAGAAAGAGCCATAGGCAAAAATGGAATGACCCGACAATTCCTCGGGTCGCTTTTCTCGATCACCCGATCGCTTTTCTCGCGCACAATATTCTTCTTTGAATGTCTGTTGAATCGAATTCTCTTTTATAACTTTTATCTAATAGCTTTTATCTAAACTTTCACCAATGCTTAAAAATATTGAATAAGCCAAGATTATTGATGTGAATCAATAATCTTGGCTTATTCATGTCTTGATGTCAGTATGGAATCAGTAGCTTTTCTTGTGCAGGCTTTACAAATGTTAACAATTTTTAACTAGACTGATGTACTATTAAAACTATGAAAATTTAACTATTAAACTAATAAAACTATTAACTGTTAACTATTAAATTATTAAAACTGTCAAAAACTCTCAAAACTTAACTATTAAACTACCAAAAACTAACTATTAAACTTAAAAAACTATCAAAAGTTAACTATTAAACTATTAAAACTGTCAAAAATTATCAAAAGTTGACTATTAAACTATCAAAAACTATCAAAAGTTGACTATTAAACTTTTAAAACTGTCAAAAACTATGAGAAGATAACTGTTAAGCTCTTAAAACTATCAAAAATTAACTATTAAACTATCAAAAACTATCAAAACTTAACTATTAAACTATTAAAACTATGAAAATGTAACTATTAAACTATTAAAATCATCAAAAGTTGACTATTAAACTCTTAAAACTATCAAAAGTTAACTAATAAACTATCAAAACTATCAAAACTTAACTATTAAACTCTTAAAACTATCAAAAACTATCAAAAGTTTCATTTCATAAAAATTTTACCTAACAACATATCAACAATCAATAACATTCGTCTTCGGTAAAGCATCAGAAAATGAATGTTAAAGACATCGCATTCTTAAAGTTTAATGACATTCTTTCCCCTTCTTTCCCCCTTTTTCCCCCTTTTTCCCCATTTTTTCTCATTGTCATCCCAATCGTTTTACGTCATTTGCTTTTTTTTGACTCAATCGTCATTTCTCCATTCACAAATATGATTCATTTAGGATGTTTGAGCGACGATCGCCAAAACTTTTGTATCTTTATGGAATCGATCCGATTCATCAAGTCGAAGTCGAACAAGGTTTAGCATTTTGAAATTTTTAGATTTAAACCTTCGCTTATTGTATAATGATTTGAAAAGTAGAGTTTAAATGGTCGAAATAGAAAGAGAGATGGTAGAAAGAGATGCAATTAGGCGGTGGGACAAATGCGACCTTTTTTTGCGCACCCGGACTTTTGCGCACTTTTTTTTCCGCACCTTGCCCATTAGCGCACCTTTTTTCGCGTTTTAAAAAAGCTCTAAAAAGGTAATATTAACCAATTTCTATTCCAAATGTTGTTTTTCTAGGTCTTCTAGGTAATTTTAGGGCGTAGAATCGAAATTTTGACATATCAGAGCTTGTGGAAACAAACGGACGGAGTTATACAAAGAGAAAAATCGACAATTTTCTATAATTTGATCTAGCCGTCTTTCAAATTGGTTCCACAAGCTCTGATATGTCAAAATTTCGATTCTACACCCTCAAATTACCTAGAATACCTAGAAAAACAACATTTGGAATAGAAATTGGTTAATATTAGCTTTTTAGAGCTTTTTTAAAACGCGAAAAAAGGTTCGCTAATGGGCAAGGCGCGGAAAAAATTGTTTTGTTCAAAAGAGCAATGTAGCTATGTATCGTATTCACTCAAAACAATTAAGGAATATGCAAAATAATAGCTCAAGTGCGCCGGAGAGCCGAACCAACAACCCCATACTTTGGCGCGGGATTCACGTCGCGCGCCTTAGATCACTTTTTGTATGTTATAACTTTTTGTAGAGTTGAGCAAATTTGATGATTTTTGCATCAAAATGTTCGTAAGAGTCTCTAGAATAAAAATTATCCCTTCGTTTTTGGTTCGAGACCCTCGTTGTCGAGTTACGAGCTCCAAACTGCAGGGTACCACAAAATTTCCCATACAAAATGACCAAAAAACCGCTAAACCTAAATTTAAAAAATTTCTGTCAGAGAGATTTGAAAAATTCCTTCAGATTCGGAATCAGCACAATTTTCCGCATCTAAAAAAGGTACTCCCAGAAAAATCCGATAGAAAACGCATTTTGGCCTTATTTCGCGCCGATGTGCACTCCCGTGCAATTAAAAAAACGGTCAATTTTGCTCATTTACTTTCAGCTGATGTTGGTTTCGATGAAAATCAGGAAGATCGACTCCCGAGAAAACTTTTTGTGCGAAGATTCGATTTGATTTTCTTCTTTATAGCTATTGTCACATATTTGTCGGATTTCGTTTCCGATTGTGCTGTTGCATATTTGCATTTCGCCCAGGGACGAGTAAGTGCTTTGTTTTGAGGAGAAAGCCTATTTTAACAGCATTACTAGCCGCATATTTTAACTTTTAAAATAATGCCAACACCAACAGAATTTCTATTTGAATTGCCAACTATTTGAATTATTAAAAAGCTTTATTGTTTCTTTGCAAAATGGCTTTAGGGAAACTTTTGGAAATATCGGGTTTTTGAACTGAAAACTATCGGACTTTGAACTAAAATTTATTCAACATAAAACCATGAATTCATTCCAAATAATTTCCATTATTATTGACGACTTCTGCCCATTTTACAGGCAATTTGCGGATTCCTCTTTCGTAGAAGGGTTTTGGTTTGTGTCTGAGACAAGTGTGAGACTTAAAAATGGAGGACTGGAGATGGAGGACTGGAGATCCTAGTTTGAGCACTTTCTTCAAAAGAAACCCATTTTGGTGTCAGTAGAAAAGTTGTAGAGAATCAAAAATTAGGCTTATAGCCAAATTTTCAAAAAGATACACTTAGTAGTTTCGCTTAAAATGCAAGTTTTGTGAAGATTTGGCATTTCTTTCTTAAATTTGGCATTTCTTTCTTAAATTTGGCATTTCTTGAAAACCAGTTTTTGAATCGCTCTGAAAATTTGGATATAAGCTTGATTTTTGATTCTCTACAACTTTTCCATTGACACCAAAATGGGTTTCTTTTGAAGAAAGTGCTCAAACTGTCACATATGACAATAGCCCGCAGTTTTCAATTCACCGACCCAATATATTGAAATTATATTGAAATTATATTGAAATTATTGAAATTAAGATCAGGCTAAATCATAAGAATATTTAGAACCCAAAAAATTCCCCCAGATTATGTTTAAGCGGACAGAACAAAGACTAGCAAAGATTTCTAGGTTTTTTCAACACAAATCTGATTATTTTTGAATCAAAAGAATTAGGTAAGCAACAAAGGATACAGAAAGCAATAAAGGATACAGAAATACGTATTAGCTGATTAGATTGATCAATTCTAAATTGAATTTGTCGATAAGAATGGATTTTTTTTTGAACTGAAAACAAAACAAAACAAAACAATTACAAATTTCAGCTTTGGTCTGGCATCTTTATTTTGGCGCCATGTCTATTCTGCTCGATTGCACTTAATTTAGTGACTCTTGGATTTATGTTTGATGATGAGGTAGGATCAAAATCAAAACAAAATAAAGAAAACTTTCAATCATCAATCAAAATCGATCCAAAACATTTCAAGCAACGTTCAGATGAGATTTCAGATGAGATCTCAGATGAGATCTCAGAGTGGAAGAAGCCAAAAGTCGATTTGTCGCAAAAGCTTTCTCTTCAAAGTCTTTGCATGCATTTTTCAGGTAATTCTTTTATTTTCCAAAAGTCCAATGCTTCAAGAATTTAGTTAGGTCCAATTTTGTATTATATTCGAGCTTTAATAGAAGGGGTTCGTTTTCGAAAAGAGAAAAACGCAAAAGAGGCGAGGAAACATTTTTGGTATGTGATTTTGAGTATTTGGATACAATTGTATGTGTTTACCTTACAACAAGGGGATTTCAAATGGCAAAATGACATGCACCATGGGTTATTCGACGCAGAATTTCACGCTGATTCCGAATTTGCTTTCCGTTTCTGCTATGGAGTGCTCTGTCTCAGCATCATCTGAAGTTGAAGTTATAAGCGGGCAAAGTTTTGTATAGGGTTTGCATGGAATTTCAACTCAAAAATCAACTCAAAAACGAACTCAAAAACAGCATAAACTCAAAAATCGCACCCCGACTTGTAAGCAGATTTCCGCAAGCAGCAGCGATGGCAGCAAGCAGCAGCGATTTCTGCAATCAGCAGCGATTTCTGCAATCAGCAGCGATTTCTGCAAGCAGCAGCGATTTCTGCAAGCAGCAGCGATTTCTGCAAGCAGCAGCGATTTCTGCAATCAGCAGCGATGGCCGAGTGGCAGTAGGTTAGAACACAAGGCAGGGGGTCACTAGTTCGACTCCGGTCTCTACCTTTTTCTTCTGCTTTTTTTTTGCTTTTGCAAAGTTAGTTGTTCCAAATAAAAGTTTAAACTATTTTTCTTAAATAAGTTTACCTTTAACTATTAACATTAAACAGCTATCATTAAAATCTAAAATGAAAACAAGATTTCGACATTAATGACGTGATTTGGCGTTAAAGTTTGCATCGAATAACCCATGGTCACCAGACGCAGTTGAAATTTCCTTCTAGGCAGGCAAATGCATATAATTCAAAAGATTTCTATGGAGGTCTATGGACCATAAAATCCAAAATTTTAGCAAAATGATCGAATCAGAGAGAGACGCGACTTTGTTACGCTTTTTCGAGGCGTTTCTAGAGTCGGTACCCCAACTCTTAGTTCAGGGCACAATCTTGGCGCAATTTTTTGCCTCAAAACCCGTTGATGGAGAGCTGCCCAAATGGGGTACAGTGATTTATTTACTTCTTTAAATCTTTAACCTAATAATTTGTAAAAACCTGTGCATATCTTCAGATAAACGGGCAAGTTTTATGGTGAAAATAGCGATTTACCGTATTTTCTCTAATACTCTAATATAATCTAAGTAGTGGACCTTAAATTGCTAAATTGCTCGAAATCTCGAGAACCGCTTATCAGAACCTATCGATGTGGGGTCGGAAAATGTAGCTGACGATGAGATCTAGTGGGGGATTGGAGAGTTGAGCTTCTGGGAAGAATTGGGAACTGTAAAATAGTCGTCAACTCGGCTCGCCGGGGAGCACTACTATGTGCACCACGGGGTGCACCACGGCTAGGTGCACTAGGCGGACGGGTTCTACACAATTCTATTACCTATCGATGTGGGGTCGGAAAATGTAGCTGACGATGATATCTTGTGGGGGATTTGAGTGCTGAGCTTCTGTGAAAGCTTAGGAACTGTAAAATAGTCGTCAACTCGGCTCGACCGGGCGGAGGGGAAGAGGGCGCTACAATTAGAGAAAATACAGAATAAGCGGGGTTTTTTGACTCATGGGAATAAATGCATTCTATATAAGGGATACCGTAAAATACAGAATACTGTATTACCTCTAATAGACCTCTATGACTGAATACGGCCTCTCTAATAGTAGTGCACCCTGAGCGTCGCCTAAACTGCTCGAAATCTCGAGAACCGCTTATCAGAACCTATCGATGTGGGGTCGGAAAATGTAGCTGGCAATGAGATCTTGTGGGGGATTAGAGTGTTGAGCTTCTGCGAAAGCTTGGGAACTGTTAAATCGTCATCAACTCGGCTTGACCGGGCGGAGGGGGAGAGGGCACTACTAGTAGAGAGAATACGGTAAGCATAAAACAGGGATTTCTCAATTCTAATCAATTGTGCCCAAAAAATCTTTCAAAATTATTTGTTTATGGGGTGCGGGCAAAATTAAGGAAAAATTGAAGGAAAATACATGTTAGAATGTTAGAATTAGAATGTTAGAATTGAAAAATTAGTGTTTTAATTGCACTCAAATCACTTTAAGGCCTCAATGCTGTCAATTTACTCTTCAGTTTTACAAATTCGGCAAGAATTATTTGCAGTTTATGTGCAAATCGTCTCTCTCTTATTGTCCCTTTCATCCGCTTGTTGGTCGATCTCAATTCAACACCGAAGTCTACGCCTTTGCCGGCCTGACAAAGTCAACATGCATCCGCATGAAAGCGTTCTACAGGTAAATTCTATGCCTCAATAAAGTTAATGATCTTTTTTTTGTTCCAGTTCATTTGGAGAGTTTTCACGGTTCTATCTCGTTTCACCATATTGGTGCTTTCCTTTTTGGCATTCGGTTTCTGGATGATCGGCTTCTTTGGAGTGCATTTTGTTGTGTCACTTCTGCACATCACAGCTTTACAGGCAAGCTTTACAGGCAGCAAGAAAATGAAATGTAAAAAGATATTCAGTAAAAATTGACTGAATAGTCGCAAAGTTCTGAATAGTTAAAACAAAAATTCACAATATTTTTTACCCATTTCACTTTATTTTTAACATTCTTGATGCCTTTTCCGGTTTCCGTAAAAACAGAAAAAAATTGAAAGCTTGATCCAGACAATCTGGGCTAGAATTGAACAAAACTGGAGAATTGAACAAACTATTTTATTAGAGAAACTCTCTTTTAGTCTGTCAAAGCCCCATTCACCTCGATTGAGATGGGATTGATCGGTGTGAATGCTTTCATTCACTTATCAACTCCATTTAATATGGCTGACGGGAGAACAAGGCGACAGTACACGATTGCGTATTTCGTTGAAGCTGTCGAAGGGGCTGTAAGTTTACAAATAATTGAAGAGTACTCTCCAATTCATTGGTACTCTCCCATTAATTGGTACTCTCCCATTAATTGGTACTCTCCAATTCATTGGCACTCTCCAATTAACTGGTACCCTCCCATTAATTGGCACTCTCCAATTAAACCATCCCATCAACACAATCCCATAGCACCGCAAAATCTACATCAACAGTAATTCGATTCAATTCAAATCAATCAAACTCAACAAATCCTCAACAAATCATTTCTATTAGGTTAGTGCATGAGTCTTTACAATCATTTTTCGAAGCGTCTTTTAAAATAATGCTAACATGAACAGAATTTCTATTTGAATTATTAAAAAGCTTTATTGTTTTCTTTGCAAAATGCCCTTTGGGAAATTCTTAGAAGTAGTTGTTTTATAGACTTTCAAAGGCGCAAAGGCTAGCACCCAAAACTTTCTAGAACTGGGGATCTAGAACTGGGGATCTAGAACTGGGGATCTAGAACTGGGGATCTAGAACTGGGGATCTAGAACTGGGGATCTAGAACTGGGGATCTAGAACTGGGGATCTAGAACTGGGGATCTAGAACTGGGGATCTAGAACTGGGGATCTAGAACTGGGGATCTAGAACAGCTGTTTCTATTTTTGAAAATCAATTTATCTCAAAAGCTCTCAAAACCTTTTTTCTGTTTTTCCAGATTCTCGCTTTCCTACTCCTTCGCGATGATTCTTTCAATTTCCCTTGGAAATTCGAGTGTCTTCTCTCATCTGGAGTTTTCTTTATAATTGGAATTTCCGTGATGTTTTTCTATTATGGTTGTTGTCATCCGAATCGACGACGACATTTGCGAATTGATTGTGATGATGTTGATCAAGGGAAAGCTCCAGAAATTGTGGATTTATCCCAAAATAGAGTAAATGTTAGCGACCAAGTAGTCGAATTTCAAGAAATTGTTCAAAAGCCGAAAAAATCGGAGCCAATTTCGGCGATTCCCGAAGCTGTAGTGAGTCCAATGCCTCGATCTTGATATTTTAAGTGTTATTTTTGCATTAAAATTTCTGAATTATGATCTCGTGAGATTTCTGAAGCTTTCTAAGCTTTCTAAGCTTTCTAAGCTTTCTAAGCTTCACTGTAATTTTGTTAAAACTTTATTCAATTCTTTGTTATGCCCAACTTTGTTGCAATTGAGTGAAATAAACGTTTGTCGCTTTGTCGATAGCTGATGGGATATTATCGAAAAATACGTGTAAACTGTCATTTGATGGTGATTCGGAGCTTTTCGGGAAATCCGCAACCACATATCGGCGCCATTTCCGAACACGAATCCACGCAGAAATGATGACGACATTTGGGAAACTGAAATTGAATAGCTTGAATGAATTTAATAGTTTGGATTAATAGTTGTGACAGTTTGGATGGGCCAAAATTATCGTTACAATGGCCAAAATTACTGTTCACTCGTGCACAAATGAGCCAATCTTCAAAATTGTGTTGTTTTCTGATTTTTCTGTTAATATAATTTATTGTTCAACATTAATACAAGACCAAAATTGTCACCATCTACAAAGCAAAAGAGAGATCCCGGCTAGGTGTTCTTTGGCTAGGTTTTCTTTGTGCGGCCGAGTAATCGCTCTCGATCTGGCAAATCGCCCCGGTAGAAGGGGCTTCCATTTTGTGCTCCCGCGCGTCGAATTCGTCTAATTTATTTTTTAGAATGGTTCAAGCATTATCTCAGATGAGAGCAAATCGCATCGAGGATCGGTCATTTCGAACAAGGTCGATCATTGCGCTACGCGAACAGAAACTTTCAGCGAGTGTGATTGCAAAACGTTTCAAAGTGAATCGAATGCTTATCGAACAATCAAACGCTTCAATGCCTTGGGAACGGATTCTGATCGGCCAGGGCGTGGAAGAAATGTGGTTTTTGTCGTTTTTTCGTTTTTGTCGTTTTTGACATCGCCTTTTATTTACAGGGTGGGCCAAAATTACTGTTACAATGCTCACGCACGCGCAAATGCGAAAGCGAAATGGAAGAAAGCGAACGGTAACCAATTCAGCAAATGTCAAAAAGTGAGGAATCGTCTGTTGAAAACCCCAAACCAATTGGTGCGGAGAATGTCACAAAAATTGGGGATTAAGCGAACGTCCCTTAGAGGAATCATCAAAAATAAGCTCAAGTTAAAGATGTAAAGCTTTCTCGCATAAAGACCTCCCATAAAGAAAGATCATTTTCTTTTAAAAGAGAATTTGATTGAAGTCAAAACGAAACCGAAAAAATCAAGAGATCAGATGAATCTCAAGTCAAATAGCTAAAGTCAGATAGGATTTTTCTCTCAATTTAACTGCTTTAATATTTTAAAAGGTTTAGCAACAAGATGTAGAATTTGTAGTAATAATAGAGCCAGATTTAAGGCACAAATCAAACCCAGAAATTTAGGCATAGTGACGCGCAAAACGGCGAAATTCATTACGCGCCCCTTTACGGATTCCAAACGAGAAACCTTCTATACCGGAGCGGTTTGCCAGATCGCGAGCGATTACCCGGGCGCACAAAGAACACTTCACCAGTCATTTGGGACCTTCTTTTGCTTTGTAGATGGCACAAAAAGAAGATTGTAGCTGTAAATTTGTACCCGGGGGTTTTTGGAGCCAGGGAATCGATTGGAGCCAGGGAATCGACTGGAGCCAGGGAATCGACTGGAGCCAGGGAATCGATTGGAGCCAGGGAATCGATTGGAGCCAGGGAATCGACTGGAGCCAGGGAATCGATTGGAGCCAGGGAATCGATTGGAGCCAGGGAATCGATTGGAGCCAGGGAATCGACTGGAGCCAGGGAATCGATTGGAGCCAGGGAATCGATTGGAGCCAGGGAATCAATTGGAGCCACTCATTTTTATTGACTCTATGGAAAATTGAGAGATTTTATAGCCAAAGTACTTTTAGAAACATTTAAAGTTCACTTTAAAACGTTAAAACAATCGCTTAATAATGAAATTAGGGATCAAATTTGATGAAAAGCCTTTTGATTTGATTTCTAGCATCAGACTTAGGCATTTCAATGAATGACGCTTTTTACAATAATATTGCTTCAAATGACGGCTCATTTTGAAGGTTACAGAAAAATGAGCTTGCTCAATCGATTCCCCGACTCCGAAAACCCCCGGGTACAAATTTATAGCTGAATATCTTTTTTGTAGCATCTACAAAGCAAAGGGAGAAATCCCTACGTAAATGGCTAGGGGTTCTTTGTGCGGGCGAGTAATCGCTCTCGATCTGGCAAACGGCCCCGGTAGAAGGGGCCACAATTTTGAATAAACTTGAACGAAAAAATAAGAACCGTTTAATTCTCTACTTTGTTATGCTCAAATTCTTGGTTTCAGTGAGAATCGATCCTAATTGCGGGCCGAAAGTGAGAGGAGCGGTGAGCGATTAAACCGTCATTATGCTCAAATTTCTATGATCAATTTTTGCCTTCGATTTGGCTGTGTTTTGATGCAAATTCTCCTCAATTTTTGGCCTAACTTTTTTGTCCTTTTCACAAGAACCAAAGACTGTTATGTGGTTGAGACAAGAATCAAACCCATAACAGATTCCAGTGCTCTTGGAAGGCGCGAGTGACTTGTAGTGAACTCGAAAATTCAATAAGCCACAGGTGAAATCGTGGGATGATAAAGAAGTACAATGTACAGAAGGAAATGAGAAGTAAATTCTCATTTCCTTGAAACTTACACGTCAATCACAGTGTCAACAAGTGCATTGAAGAATTGTCCGCCAATCGTTTCACTGGCAATCGGACGGATCAATAAACGGGGAACGGTGTAGAGGAAAATCCCGACCAAAACAAGAATGGAGGCTGTCCAGATGATCGCTCGTAGCAGCTGAAAAACAAATAATTGTAGGAAATTGTTGGAAAAGGGAAATTTTATTGTTGACTTTGACTTTGAGCTTCAAAAATAACCCAATCATTGACAAATCAACAGAAATTTATTCGTCATTGAATAAATAAGCTTAAATTGATTTCCTCCAACAAAAAAGCTAGTTTTTTATAATATTTTAGCAAATCAGATCATTTAAATCAATAATTTAAAATGCGAATCTGTTAAAGTAAAATACAGCACAAAAACCAAAAACCGATTTTTCATCATTTTTCAATCATTTTTTTCTAAGCATTGGTTAAAGCTAGAAATATGTGTTATTTCTCAAAAAAACACCCATTTTCTCTACTTTAATTTGGTACCAAAGCGTGCAGAAACAAACGTACTGATGTCGAGTTATGAGCGATTCTTATGGGTGATCTTTGAGTGTGAACTTAGACTACGCGACGCTTCTATCAAATGCTTTTATTCGAGTATTTACGGTAGTTAATGTTACAGTAAACTGAGAGGTAACCGTAAAGGCTATTTCAGACAAAAAACCCGGAAAGGAAAGCGGAAAGTTTGGATGAAATTTTGGATCAGTTTGGATCAGATCAGTGAGTGAAAGCGCCTTCATTGTCCAAGACTGTATATAACTATTCTAAAACGTTTCTGAAACATTCTAAAACATTCTAAAACACTCTAAAACACTTTAAAACACTCTAAAACACTTTAAAACATTCTAAAACGTTTCTGAGACATTCTAAAACATTCTAAAACTTTCTAAAACGTTTCTAAAACATTCTAAAACACTCTAAAACTTTCTAAAACATACTAAAACATTCTAAAACATTCTAAAAAGTCTACATTTTCTGCGTATGCTTTTTACGCGTAGCTATAACGTAAAAAAAACCGAAATCTACTAACCTCTAATGATTTGACGTTTTCAGCAATTTGAAAACGCAAACTCAACGAATAAAAACCATTTCGATTCACTTTTCGTTTCATCAAATTCTCTGCGTCTTCTCGATTTATCGAATAAATTTTTATGTAGCACTGTAATTGAATTTGATTTAGGAAATAAACTATAAACAAACCAACAACGATAATAACACAGGAAAGCCCAGAATAGGAACAGAAGCGGTGGCTCGGATTACATCTGGAAAATTGACTTTTAAGCTTGTTCTTTGCGCTTACAATTAGTTGATCTATCTAGCTAGAATCTAGAGGAATCTAGAGGATTTGAGTTACTCTAACGTTTACTGTTTAACTTACGAGCTAGGGTACTTGCGAGCTAGGGTACTTGCGAGCTAGGGTACTTGCGAGCTAGGGTACTTGCGAGCTAGGGTACTTGCGAGCTAGGGTACTTGCGAGCTAGGGTACTTGCGAGCTAGGGTACTTGCGAGCTAGGGTACTTGCGAGCTAGGGTACTTGCGAGCTAGGGTACTTGCGAGCTAGGGTACTTGCGAGCTAGGGTACTTGCGAGCTAGGGTACTTGCGGCTAGGGTGCGGCTAGGGTACTTGCGGGCTAGGGTACTGCGGGGCTAGGGTACGGGGCTAGGGTACTTGCGAGCTAGGGTACTTGCGAGCTAGGGTACTTGCGAGCTAGGGTACTTGCGAGCTACAGTAGCCTTTTGTTATTCGTATCTTTAGTTTTAAAGCACTTTTGTTATTCGTATCTTGGTCTATCTTGGTCTATCTTGATCATTTTTGATCGAAAATACTCACGTAATAACATCAAGATCGCAAATATCGAGCTAATCATTATATTTGATCCGATAAGTGCCAACGATATGTGACTTTTCGAATTCCTTTCATATTCTTTCGCAAAACGAGTAGCCAAAAAGCGTTCAAATACAATAACGGGAATTGAAAAGACGAAGAAACCCATCAAATAGAAATTGATCAAAGCAGCCGCAAGCAGGGGAATGTCACAACAGAAGAGACCTTTAAAAAAATAGCTAATTTTACATAAAAATTAGCTAAATTAGCTAAATTATTAGGTTGGCAAGTTATAAACGATCGTTTTTGGTTAATGTGTTTTCTGAAATGCTTATCCAATCGGCTTATCCAATCGGCTTATCCAAACAAAAAACGGTTTCCTTGATTCAAAAACCCTATCCTTAATCTACAAAATGGCTTTTTTTTAAATTTTTGAATAGCTTAGCTTGATACCTGTTATTTGTAATAAACGTAGCGGGTGATAAGCAAAGAGAACAAGGCGTACGGTCACGAGAAAATAGCAATGAACGGTGAGAAATATCGCTATTTTTAGGATATTTGGGTGAAAAGTCTTTCCGCTGGAGAGTGCTTTCTGAAATATGAAAAGTTTTATGACTTACTGGCTGAATATAGGGAAAAACCCGCGTAACGACGGCTTTTTCTGAGTCCGTAGTTTTTATTTATCTATATTTATTTATTTATCGCCGTGGCGCATCTCTATAGAAAGCTACAAGTTCTATTTGTGATCCCCAAACTGTTTTTAAAACATTTATTAACAATAAACAAACAATAGACAAACAAATTTCAACAATTAGATTCAAATCTTTCGTCATTGACATCGTAGCAAAGCATTAAACGTTTGGGAGTCAAGCAAGTCAAGCAGTCAAGCAGTCAAGCAGTCAAGCAGTCAAGCAGTCAAGCAGTCAAGCAAGTCAAGCAGTCAAGCAGTCAAGCAGTCAGCGTCAAGCAGTCAACAGTCAGCAGTCAAGCAAGTCAAGCAGTCAAGCAGTCAAGCAGTCAAGCAGTCAAGCAAGTCAAGCAGTCAAGCAAGTCAAGCAGTCAAGCAGTCAAGCAAGTCAAGCAAGTCAAACAAGTCCAGGTCAAGCCAGAGAAGGCAAGACTTGGCTTCTAACGATTCCAGGAACTTTATGAGCATGACCAGAAGCCAGTACAAGGCACAGAAGCCAGCACAAGGCACAGAAGCCAGCCAACAAGATAGCTAGTTCCTAAAGTTGTTGTTCAAGCTGATAGACTGGTGCTGTTACTGGTACTGGCACTTTCAATTGGACAATAATGTGCAATCCGTTCTCTAGCTATCTTGTTGGCTGGCTTCTGTGCCCTGTGCTGGCTTCTGGTCATGCCTAACTTTATTGCTCAATTCATTCTCTAGCTACCTAGCTATCTTGCTTGTTCTGAATTGGTCTTGATGTTGAAAAACAGCTCCGATCGCTCCGATCAGCTACTACTATAAATCGGAAACAGCTCCGATCGCTACTACTATAGAGCCCTGCTAGATCCCTTGGGAATAGATGCTATTGTTGTTGTGATTATCTGATTGTTATTGTTGTTGTGATTATCTGATTGTTTTTCTTGTTAAATCATAAAATCTAAATTCACCTGTGTTATATAAATCAACGTAAAGCTGACGAAGAAATTCATCATTTGAAAGATATAAATCGGTACCAACAAAGGATACCATTGTGTCACTTGAATGATTGTATCATTCGCGTAAATTGGCAGAAAGATATCAAAGACTTTACCGAATAGAATATATTGAACCATAAAGCTGAATATTTCAAATTAAAAGAGTAAATTATTTAGAAGAAAAGAATGAAGGAAAAAGGCCTTCTCATTAAACATTGACAGGTGGAAAATATAAAAAAAAATTGAGTTTTGTGAAAATGGTAAATGAAAAGAAAGATTTTGTCATCAAATTTCAGTCTAATAGTAATTTCAGCTAGTATTTTGAGCGTTTTTTTGATTCGTGAATGATAACTTTACAGTTATTAGGGTCTTTTACAGTTAAATTTACCTTTTCTGGCACATTTAGTCACCCAAATTTCTTCGTTATAGGAAAACTAAAGAATTGAGTGCACTAGAAAGCATGTGTTTCCAGTTTTTCAACCCAATACAAACCTAGTCACCATTTTAGAGCATTTTAGAGCATTTTAGAGCCTTTTAGAGCATTTTAGAGCTTTCTAGAGCTTTTTAAAGCATTTTTAGAGCATTTTAGAGCATTTTAGAGCATTTTAGAGCTTTCTAGGGCTTTCTAGAGCTTTTTAGAGCTTTTTAGAGCTTTCTAGAGCTTTTTAGAGCTTTTTAGAGCTTTCTAGAGCTTTTTAGAGCTTTTTAAAGCATTTTAGAGATTTCTAGAGCTTTTTAGAGCTTTTTAAAGCATTTTAGAGCCTTTTAGAGCATTTTAGAGCTTTCTAGAGCTTTTTAGAGCTTTGTAGAGCTTTCTAGAGCTTTTTAGAGCTTTGTAGAGCTTTCTAGAGCTTTTTAGAGCATTTTAGAGCTTTCTAGAGCTTTTTAGAGCTTTCTAGAGCTTTCTAGAGCTTTTTAGAGCTTTCTAGAGCTTTCTAGAGCTTTTTAGAGCATTTTAGAGCTTTTTAGAGCTTTCTAGGGCTTTCTAGAGCATTTTAGAGCATTTTAGAGCTTTTTAAAGCATTTTAGAGCTTTTTAGAGCTTTAAATTTATATTCTAATCTTTCAAGAAAACTTTCTAATCGAAATACGAAATACTAACAATACAGGATGGAAAAGAATTGTGAAATTTGACTGTAACTGTCAAATTACTGTAACTCGCTGTCACGATGCTGTCATCTCCGAGCCAAACTGATAATTTATCATTTTCGAGAAATCACCGTGCAAACTTTTTCCGAGAACTTTCTTTCCAAGCTAATAGTAGAATGAGAAAGTTGAGTCCAATTGAACACTTTCAATTTCAATTTTCAATTTCATGCGCTCACAATTTTAGCAGCTTTTAACAGCATTTAATAGCATTTAACAGCATTTAACAATGCTTTGAACCTTTAAAAAAATCTCGCGGAAAACCGAAACGGAAAGCCGAAACGGAAAACCGAAACGGAAAACCGAAACGGAAAACCGTTTTCTTATGTACCTGCTTTCTAGTTTTGTTTTACATTTTTGAAAGCGAATGAAAAGTGATTTAGATAGATTTCAAGAATATTTGAATCATAAGTTCTAAAATTTAACTGAAATATCTGAAAAATCTGAAAAATACACTGAAAAGCTCAAAATGAGTGATCAAAAAAATTCAATTAAAGAAATTTAATCAAAGAAATTCAATTAAAGAACTTCAATCAAAGAAATTCTTTCAGAAAAAAGATAAGAAGATCTTTAGAAGTTGAGAGACAAAGGTTTGAGAAACAAAGCTTTGAGAAACAAATCTTTGAGAAACAAATCTTTGAGAGAGAGACAAATCTTTGGAAGACAAATCTTTGGAAGACAAATCTTTAAGAAACAAATCTTTGAGAGAGAGACAAATCTTTGAGAAACAAATCTTTGGAAGACAAATCTTTGAAAGACAATAATTTCAAAGTGTTTATTCATCAATTCTCAAAAACGCACTACTTTACAAAATAAATCGAATCACGCGACCGCTTTGGAGACTCTTTTTGCCACTCTTCTTCTGTGTCTTTCGATGAAATCTCTGAAAAATGAAAGTCTCTAGAGAATCTCTAGAGAATCATTGATTAAGTACGACTATATTCGTTAATCTATGATGCAAAACTGAGCAAAATCTACAAAATGTTGACCTCAATTCTTGCTTGATGTTTGGATGAATTCGAATATTTTTTGTGTCTGAAGTGTTGGATAATCTTCTTAGCATTCGACGAGCAGCTGGAGAAAGCTCAGAGAGTTCTTGTTCTCGTGCCTGCAATTGTGGAATGTTTGACAGGATTGAGAAACATTTTGAGACCATTTTTGAGAAACATTCAGAACATTTGAGAAGGATAACGATGACGATTTATCAATGTAAACGTTGATTTGAAATTTTCATTTTTTAAATGAGATGTGCAAATTAACTAAATTGCAAATTAACGGGCCTCAAGATGTGCAAATTAATGGGCCTTAAGATGTGCAAATTAACGGGCCTTAAGATGTGCAAATTAACGGGCCTCAAGATGTGCAAATTAATGGGCCTTAAGATGTGCAAATTAATGGGCCTTAAGATGTGCAAATTAACGGGCCTTAAGATGCGCAAATCGACGGGCTTAGAGATGTGCAAATTAACTAAGCGAATTTTATCAAGCATTACCTTTAAAACTCTTCGTCGATTTGTGGCCCAAGCATTGTACTGTCCAAGTTGTCTGCCATTGAGCAATGAAACGGCCAAGAGTTGAATCTGAAGGAATGCTTTGATAGCTTTGATAGCTTTGATAGCTTTGATAGCTTTCATAGCTTTCATAGCTTTGATAATCTACTTTTTGAGCTCTCAATGGCTCTGATGGGATATCTTGATCGTTCCACGTTTCGACAAATTCCCGTCGAACTGATTGAGGGGCGTCTCGCAAGAATGGAGCATCTGGAGTGTCAAATTTGGCTGCCAACGGATCGGCCGAGTTCGATCCCTATAGAAAAAGAGTTACTAAACCTTGTCAACTCTTTAAAATTAAGATTAAAGAGATAAAATCTAATTCCAGTGGCTCGAAAGTAAACTTCTATCTAGAACAAAAAGCTATCTAGAGTTGAATGAATGTTGAATGAAATTTGAGAATCTAGAGATGAGAATTCTGAACTAATCTCGCTAATACTTCTTTCATTGGTTCTTTCAATGATTCTTTCAATGATTCTTTTGATTCTTTCATTGATTTCTAACGGTAATATTTCTTTGGCCTTATAGTTTTCAAGTACCCCCTGAATTTTCAGTTTTAACTCCCTTTCTCAAAAACTAGTAGATGGTTCTGGGATTTCAAAATACCATTCAATAGCAAATTTTCTTGCGCATCTTTTGAAGTATAAGCCATTGGGAATGGCTTATTGGATGGCGAGGAAATCTACAAAGAATAAAGAGGGAGAGCACTCCTCCTAAAGTGTCCCCCTGGATTTCAGTTGAAATATTCTGGGATTCCTTTGGGCAATTCATTTTCGAATTAAAAACAATAAAACTAGAGTTAAATGCGCATATTTTACAAAAAAAAAGCAATTCAAAAGATCCAAATATGGCTGGGGAAATGAGAATGAGAAAAAAGGGAAAAATGCTCTTTTTTCTTTTTTTCCCAGTTCCATATCTTGACTAGAGTGTGCTCCTTGTTGACAGACAATTTGTCAGACAAATTTTCATTGACAACTTTTTTGTCAGACAATTGATCCGACAAACTTCCGACAACGCGTTTTCTAAACGGTGCGCTTTTTAAGCAAAGCTATAAAGGTCGCGCGAAAAAAATTTGCAAACTTTTCTTAAAATATAGTAATGGATGGTTTTATTTAAGGATTTAGGTTTTTAGGGCGTGGAATTTTTTTTTTTGGAATGGTTCTAGTGCAAATGTAGACAATAGGCCTGGTAAATTCGTAAATAATATAATTTTTTAATAGTGTTTATTAACTTTTTCCGTTTTAAATGTTTTCTTTAATTTTACATAGCATTTAAAAATTTTTAAGTTTTAGCGAAAGAGTAATAGAGTTAAGGAAAGAGTAACAGAGTTAAGGAAAGAGTAATAGAGTTAAGGAAAGAGTAACAGAGTTAAGGAAAGAGTAATAGAGTTAAGGGAAGAGTGGTCGCGTCCGTTTCCTTCCTATTTGCGTTGCTATTTTGCAATTATTCGCGTCGCATTTTTCGCCCTTTTCTCCCTTCCCGAAATTGTTTTTTTGGTCGGCGGGTTGCTTTTGCCTTCCCTCTTGGGGGACTTTTGGTTGTTTCTTTTGATGCGCATGCTGTCTTTGTAATAGGTATTGTTGCATTTTGGTTTTGTACTAATAAACAGTAAAATTATAAACTCAACTTACTTTATGCTACCCTTCAGGTTTTAAATCCTGTTTAGATAACTGGTTTAACATTGTAGCGAGAGCTTACTAACATTTGTGTCGCCACCGACGAGTATTAATCTTGTGTTGGATGCTGCTCGTTCTTGCTATGTTATAGTGAGCGCTTTGGGGAAACCCTTTTTTAACCTTCTTTGTGCAATTCGGCTATTCTGAAGCAAAATCATCCTCGATGATAAGGTTAAAGCGGGTCGCACCCCAAACTGGGGGCCGAACCGATCCACAAGCCTTTGGGAGGACAGTGGTTGAACTAAGAGGAAAAATGAAAGATCCAGCTGAACAGAAAGGCTGAAAGGGATCTGTTAGGAGAAACGGTTGATCCGACTCTTATGACCCGAGAGAAAGGGTAAATTTTGACCTCATTGGAATCATAAGTCGAATAGAAAGACTTGCAGAGGCGTTTTGAACAAACATTCGTTTAGTTCAATGAATCCGACCAGGAACAATTCTTTTGTGATTTGAATCAATTATTTTCCTCATGAGTCGAAGAATTTTGATTCTTGAAAGTATCGGCATATTTCTTGCGCATGAAACTCCGAAATTACTTTCCCCACGATCGTTATTCGCAAATTTACACCCATGTTGATTATATTGCTTTGTTTTCGATTACTTTCCGTCTACAACGCTAATTTTTATATTTTCAGGGTAAATTGAAAAGATGACAGGCAAGATAACTGATGCTGCGAGTCGACACGAAGAGGGGCTCCTAGAGAATGTAAGTGTTTCGAAACAAGTGTTGGGGAATCTTGTGGAAAAGCTGAAAGAAGCCGTCGAAGAAAAAGTTGAAACTCTTGTAAGTGTTCTATGCAAGAAAACAACTAGTATACTGAGTTGAAAAATCGTCTTCTCCGTAGCCAATACTATTCTAAGCTTTCCATGACACCCAAAATTCAAGTCATTCAACCAAACCAAGGATTCAATCGCCGATTCAATTCTTTTTGTGCCGAATCGCGGCAACAATCAGGCGAACATGCAGCCACAAAAACAAATGAATAGATTAAATAGTAGTGAATGGTTTCAGAATTCTACGGATTCCAACCAGCAAAATGGTACGGAGAATTTGAATTACTTCGGACAGAAGCCTAGAGAAATAACGCAACAAGTGTCGAACGGTAGAAATGTAAACGTGCGGAGCTTGCGAAACAACAATTGCTTTAAATGCGGAAAGTCCGGACATAGTATACGGTTTTGTCACAAAAACCAAACCGTTAGCCAGATTGTTATAGGCAAGGAAGCTGTGCAACAAAGAGAGGTGGCGTCCGTCACACTGGGTCAAATCCCAGAGGATTTCTTGGCCCCTACTCAGAACAAAGGAACTCATAACTCGTGCAAGTCAAATGGTGTCGTTTGGTCGATCCGTGTCGAGTGTCCCGAGGTCAAGGAGATGAGTGTGGTGGCCGAAAAGAATCACGATGGCCATGTGAGCCCCAATAGGCCCATACTCGGTTGTGTTTTTGTATTCAATACAACCAACCCCCTGACTTCGAGCGCGAATCTTGTGAAATTATGTCCCACTAACAAAAATTTTGTCTTTATTTTTTGTACACATGTAGGTTCGCCGGTATCGAGCAGGAACATCTCGATTGGGGCTGTAAGTCGAATTCTACAGCTGAGTCTTTGGGAGGCTTTAGCGACTTGGTATCCTACTGCAGCTGGACCAAGTTTTACTGACGATTTGTCGAGGTTTTTGGGAAACCTGGGAGAAGATAGGTTTTTGGGAAACCTGGGAGAAGATAGGTTTTTGGGAAACCTGAGAGAAGAGAGGTTTTTGGGAAACCTGGGAGAAGATAGGCTTTTGGGAAGTCTGAACGGAGAAAGGTTTTTGGGAAACCTTGTCAAGAGCGGTCTTTGGGAGACCTTGCCGACTGTTTTGAGACAGTTGAGGAATGGAAACGTTGTGCTAAGTGCTGCACAAAAAGCTTGTGTGTCGCCGACGGATTTTCGGCTTGCTGCGGTGGTCATCGACCCAGGCAACTATTGAGGAAGGGGAACTCGACCCCTAAATCCCATTTATTTTGCTTAAATCAGCTATTTTATAACCCAATATTAAGTGAATCGAATTCTAGTATTTCACGTTCTTTAACTGTTAATGAATTGAGAATGGTCTCCATAAAAGGTGACCAAAGCGAATTTACGGGAGAACAATTGAAGCTTCGGGGTCAAATTGCTTTTATGGATGCTACTATAGTGATTGACACAGGCGCAGATATCTCGCTAGTATCTAAAGCATTTTTGAGAAAAGCTAACTCGAATCCACATGCGGCCTTGAAAAATTTCGATATTTCCCTTGAAAGAAAATCGGCTCAAGAACTCCACATTCTTGATGCCTCAAGAAATTTGATGCCATTAATCGGACGTTGCAAACTGCCAGTGAAAGTCAATGACGGCCAGACGGCAACCATCGGTTTTTATATTCTTGATCGGGAAGATGACACAGTGTTGCTAGGTATGAACGGTCTACATAAAGCAGGAATTCGTGTCTCGTTGTGGGTCGATGAAGAATCTATCGCCGCAGATAAGTCACCAATTGAAACAAAGCACACAACTGTGAGCTTTACAAGCAATGAAGTCATACTACCGGGCAGTAACCGAATTATACCTATCCGAGGAGAGTACTCAGGAGTACACCTTGTGTCGTTCCTCAAGCATGAATATGTTGTGGCTTTAGACAAAAATGGCAATGGCAAATTACTAGTTCGAAATGCACAAGAAAAACCCCTCTTGTTGCGTAAACGTGACTCTCTTCTAGCTGAAATGATCGATGGGAAAAATGTCATCGAATGGGAGGCAGTCGAATCACAACTAGGAACAAAGTCCACCAAACAATGCTCGGAAATGTTGAATTTGAATACGGAGAATAATCAGTGCACAGCTGAACAGCTTTTCGACTCAGTGCGAATTGAAAGTATTTGGCACAAACTAGTTGAGAACAAATGCCCTATAGATACAGAGTTACAGGAGATCATCGCTGAATTTGCAGATGTGTTTGCGCTATCGGATTTTGAGTTGGGACAGGCGAAGCACGTTCAACACTTTATTGATACAGGGGACGCCTTGCCAATAAAGCAGAAAGCTCGCCCAGTACCACTCGCAATGATTGATACAGTCAAACAAATGTTACAGAAGCTAAAGGATCAAAAAGTTGTACAGAAATCTAGTTCACCGTGGGCTTCACCTGTCGTGCTAGTTAAAAAGAAAGACGGAACCATACGTCTCTGTATTGATTATAGGAAACTGAATATTCTGATGAAACAGGATGCGTTCCCACTGCCAAATATGGATTTGACGCTACAAAGCTTGTCGAACAAAAAATTCTTCTCCACCTTTGATATGGTTGCGGGCTTTTGGCAAATCCCAATTGCCAAAGAAAGTGCTGAGAAGACAGCTTTTGCTATCTTGAATGAATTACTAGAATTCACCGTTATGCCATTTGGACTCTGTAACGCTCCAGCCACTTGTCAAAGACTAATGCATAGCGTTTTAGAAGATCTACTTGGAGACACGGTCTTCGTGTACATTGATGACGTGATTATCGCAACAGAAACTTGGGAGAAACACCTAGAAACATTTCGGAAAGTTCTGAGCCGGATGAGATCCGAAGGACTAAGATTTAAGGCATCAAAATGTATGATTGGACAAAAATCAGTAAAATTCTTGGGTCACCTGATCACTGACCAAGGAGTTCAAACCGATCCCGACAAGATCGAAAAGATCATGTCATGTCATGCACCGAGATCTGTTTCAGAACTACGTACTTTTCTAGGAATGTGCTCCTACTACCGTAAATTTATACTTGGCTTTGCGAAAATAGCTGGACCTTTGTATATATTGACTTCGACAAATGTTCATTGGAATTGGACTGAAGCCCAAGAGTCAGCTTTCAGACAGCTCAAAAAAAAAAAATTGTGCTCACCTCCAGTTTTAGCTCAACCAGATGTAAATTCGGCCAGAAACGGCACAAAGCCATTTATTATTTACGTTGATGCTTCGAAATCTGGTTTAGGTGCTGTCCTTTGTCAAGAAGATAACAAAAAGCAATTGCATCCGATTCATTTCATGAGTAGAAGGCTGAATAGTGCCCAAACAAAGTATCACCCTACCGATCTTGAAGCGCTTGCAATCAAAGTTGCCTTAGAAAAATTTCGTCAATACATTTATGGTTTAACTGTGATCGTTCGCACCGATCATCAGGCACTCGTTTCGTTGTTAACTCGAACAAACTTGGCAGAAAGAACAATGAAATGGGCGTTAGAAATTCAGGATGAAAATATAAAAATTGAGTATGTAAAGGGAATGGCCAACAAGGTGGCCGATGCATTGTCTCGTGGTCCGCTTGTACTTTCGGAATTGGAACAAGCCGAAGAAGCCAACACAAGCAAGTATGGGCTCGACAGAATTGTAAATGAAATGTTTGTAGGTGAGACACGAGAGTCGAAAGACTCATGGCAAAAGAGTATGGAAATGGACCCAGCTTTTGAACAATTTAAGAGATTCTGGGAGAATCAAAAGTGGGACGAGTCGATTTGCTTTGAAGGAAACAAAAGCCCCATGAAAATGGCTGATTTTGTGTTCTCGGAAAACAAGATATTTTATGTTGTTAGGGATGGAACGCTTAGAAGATGGGTGCCATTTAAAGCTCGTAAAGAACTTTGGGAAACAATTCATAAAGGTGTTCTTGGAGGACATGCCGGTCCAAAAGTATGCATGGAGAAACTCTCCAAGGAATTTTACTGGCCCTTTATGCTAGCAGATTTGAAGCTTTGGCAGAAACAATGTATCAATTGCTTGATACACAATCCTCGTCAAACGCTAGTCCCGCCTCTACATCCTAGAATTGCAAAAAGACCTTTACAGACCATCGCTGTTGATCTGATCGACTTGCATTACCCGACAACGAGAGGAAACCGGTACATTCTTACGGTTTTAGACCTGTTCACGAAATTTGGATTTGCAGAAGCACTGGTCTCTAAAAGCTCGATAGTAGTTGCTCAAGCGCTTTTGTCATACTTGCTCAAAAACTGCATAATTCCGAGTGAAATTCTTTCAGATCGTGGCAAAGAATTTCTAAATGATACCGTTCAAAGTGTGTGTAAGGAAATGGGAATAACTTGGACTGTGGGAAAAGGCTACGTAAAAAGGGAAACCGGGTCAATTGAAAGATTTAACCAATCTTTAGAATCAATTCTAGCCAAAAACTCTGTCAGGAATTGTGACTGGGACGACATGCTACCATTTGCCCTTTTTGCGTATAATTCATCAGTACATTCGGCAACACAAGAAACACCTTGTTTCCTGGCCACAGGTCGTGATCCTGTAATTCCGATCAAGGGTGTCGATCGCGCAAAGTTGAACCCTTGTATGGTCGATCGTGATGACTATAAACTAGCTTTGTTTTCAGGCTTACAGGTAGCATATGAGGATGTCAGGGAAAATCTTGAAAAAGCGGCGGAGAAGATGAAAAAATACTTTGATAGAGAAAAAGTGACCATTGACCCTAGAGAATTGAAATCTGGCATGAGAGTGCTCTTAACTGAACCTTCCCAACCAGGAAAATTTAGCCAAAGGTTCACTGGACCTTACCGTCTATTGAAATTGGGAAACACCTCAGCAGAGATAAGTGATATTGTCAATCCAAACCGACCTATAATGAATGTGCAGTTGGAAAGATTGCGGCAAGTCCCCAAGGAAATGCCTGATACTGAAATTGTAATCCCTCACGCTAAAAGCAAAAGAAGGACCGCAATTAAAACTCAAGAAATGATTGAACCGGTCAGACGGAGTAAAAGAGTTCAAAAACTAAATTATCATGTGGATAATATGTTTTCTTTTAGGGTCTGGACCGAACTCAACGACGGTGAAGGATGGACTATGATTTCGTCCAACTCGATTGTTCACCCGGAGTTCAAACTGCCACGCCGCGTAGAAATCTCCGAGATTTGGGCGAACGGAAGCGAAGTACCAGAGGAGATCGCTTTTTTCGGCTCAACAAGTGTGAGAACGCTAGCTGGATATATCGAAGCAATGAGAGCCGGATACGACTATGAGGGATTTGCCAACTCCGAGAAGTCTCACTTCCCCGTGAGCGCAAAGTCCTTCAAGATTGCATTCCAAAGGTTGGCCAAGCTCTTCCCGGAACTTCAAGCCGACTTATGTGAAATCTACAGCTCTGGAAACGAAAATTTGAGATTGCAAGACTGTGCCTATCTGGACGATTGGGCAAAAGAAGTCTTCTTCGGAACCAGAGAGAATGTCAAGGCAAGGAAGCCGCTATCTCCTGCTCCCTTGCTGAAAGCGAAGGATCCAGCAATTGTGATGTTGACCGACACGCAAGTGGTCCTATTTGGTGACCAAACCGTCGTTCAACTGGCATATGTGCTGAAGAGCAAGGTGAAGTGTGAAATGCGAAAAGCCTCAATGAATCCTGAAGAGGATCTGAAACGACTCGCTGCTTCCATTTCTCCAACGACGCCACTGCAAGAGGTCTACATGCAAGTACCGGAAGCCACGAAGATTCTCGCCAACGACAAGATCTTTGAAGGGCTGATCAACGGAATGAAGGCAGTCAACAAAAAAGCGCAACACGGTGAAAATCATCGTCTTTCCATCGCTCCACACGTCGGATTCAACCGGAGAATACGAGCGACTCTACCGCCAAAATATCTTGAAGCCAGCACTCAAACATGGCCACGAGTTGATGGATGTCCGTGATCTACAATACGGACCGTCACATCGTTTCGACACCAGGATCTACCTGCTCATGAGGACAGCCTCAGAAACGAGCCTATCCAACTTTCATCTCGAGCTGTGGGGATGTTATGTTTTGGACAATCAATGGAAAGACGTATGGATGCAAGCCATGGAATACCAAAGGAAGCCTCGTCAAGAAAATCGCCTAGCTCCGGTCAAGCGTCGACATCAAGAATGGTTTGAAGACGATGTGCCAGCTGCCTCGTCGTCGAGAATTGGTAGCCGAATGGAATCACCTCGTGGTCGTGGACGTGGTGGTCGCCGTTGAGGGAGCAAATGGTCTCATCAAAAAGGATTGCCTTGAAAGTTTGTTGAAATTTTTCTTTTTAGTTTGTCTTAACCTTGTCTTTTAACCCTTTTTGTCAGATTGTGATTATTACTCGGGCGTGGGTCCGCCCTTCTCGTGGAGGAGGGTGGTCGCGTCCGTTTCCTTCCTATTTGCGTTGCTATTTTGCAATTATTCGCGTCGCATTTTTCGCCCTTTTCTCCCTTCCCGAAATTGTTTTTTTGGTCGGCGGGTTGCTTTTGCCTTCCCTCTTGGGGGACTTTTGGTTGTTTCTTTTGATGCGCATGCTGTCTTTGTAATAGGTATTGTTGCATTTTGGTTTTGTACTAATAAACAGTAAAATTATAAACTCAACTTACTTTATGCTACCCTTCAGGTTTTAAATCCTGTTTAGATAACTGGTTTAACATTGTAGCGAGAGCTTACTAACATTTGTGTCGCCACCGACGAGTATTAATCTTGTGTTGGATGCTGCTCGTTCTTGTTATGTTGTAAGCGCTTTGGGGAAACCCTTTTTTAACCTTCTTTGTGCAATTCGGCTATTCTGAAGCAAAATCATCCTCGATGATAAGGTTAAAGCGGGTCGCACCCCAAACTGAGTAATAGAGTTAAGGGAAGAGTAACAGAGTTAAGGGAAGAGTAACAGAGTTAAGGAAAGAGTAATAGAGTTAAGGAAAGAGTAATAGAGTCAAGGAAAGAGTAATAGAGTTAAGGGAAGAGTAATAGAGTTAAGGGAAGAGTAACAGAGTTAAGGGAAGAGTAATAGAGTTAAGGGAAGAGTAATAGAGTTAAGGAAAGAGTAATAGAGTTAAGGGAAGAGTAATAGAGTTAAGGAAAGAGTAACAGAGTTAAGGAAAGAGTAATAGAGTCAAGGAAAGAGTAATAGAGTTAAGGAAAGAGTAACAGAGTTAAGGGAAGAGTAATAGAAAAAAAGAGCGCAAGATTTTAATGTACATTTGCATTTTGAAAAATTTGCTGATGCAAAGCATAGGGTTACGGTAGCTTATCCTTGGCGCGCGCTTTTTAGAAAACGCGTTGTCTGCAAGGAACACACTCTAATCTTGACTCCCATTTGCTATTTTTAATTACTTTTTTTTGCAAAATATGCGCATTTAATTCTAGTTTTACCGCTTTTATTTGTCATATACGTTTTCAATACCCATCTCGGAATATTCAACTGTAGACCTGGATCATCTGTATACACTTTAGGAGGAGTGCTCCCCCTCTTTACTCTTTGTAGATTTCCTCGCCATCCAATAAGCAATTCCCAATGGCTTATACTTCAAAAAATGCGCAAGAGAATTTGCTATCGAATAGTATTTTGAACTCCCAGAACCATCTTTGAGAAAGGGACTTAAAACTAAAAACTCAGGGGGTACCTGAAAACTATATTAAGCCTTTAGCTCTTTGACTGATTAATTAATTAATGATTAATTAAAGGTACCTCTGAATGGTCAAAATGGTGTTCCTCTTGGTCGTAGTCATGGTAATCGTCTTTGAATTTGCCTGTAAAGTTTAGTCTGCAAAATTCTTCCAAGCTTCAAGTTCAAGAGCTCAATCTTCAATCCGCTCAACAATCTGCTCAATCTGCCCAACAATATTCGAACTTTAGATCCCATGCCGTAGCCGTAGCCGTAGCCGTAGCCGTATGCCGTAGCCGTATGCCGTAGCCGTATGCCGTAGCCGTATGCCGTAGCCGTATGCCGTAGCCGTATGCCGTAGCCGTATGCCGTAGCCGTATGCCGTAGCCGTTTACGAAATTCAGCCGCTAACGAATGATTTGTTAACGGCTAGCCGATTAGGAATTTCGGCCGCTTTCCGCCGCTTTTCGCGATTTTCCTTCATTTTGCATAAATAGTTTGAAATCAAAAACTCATTTGAAACGAGCCATGTTCGCAGAAGGCGATTACAAATTGTAAACGGCTAGCGAAAAAATTTCATTTGTAATCCTCTAGACGTTAACGAATGATTCGTTAGCGGCTAGACGATTAAGAACGATTCGTAATCGTCTAGACGTTAACGAATGATTCGTTAACGGCTAGCCGTTTACGAATCATTCGCTAGTGGCTAGCCGTTAACGAATGATTCATTATATTCGACTGTTAAATGTTATAAATTTGATTTCACTTGTGATTAGTTTGCTGATTTGCGTTTTGCATAAATCTTTTGTAATCAAAAAGCCGCTAACGAATCATTCGTTAACGGCTGAATTTCGTAAACGGCTCGTAAACGGCTACGACATCTATTCAAAGCAATCTCACTTACTTGGATGTGCATGAATGATCCTCGATCCGATCGCTGTTTTCGTCTTTGGTTTCCTCTGATCATAGTCATCATCTCTCGCAAAATTGCCTTGTTGTTGCTGCTTTTTCCAATGTTCATAACGCTTGAACTCGGCTTTTTGATGTGGATCCTAAAGGTTGATAAATGATTGATGTGATCAATGGTGATCAATGATTGATGTGATCAACGATGGTGATCAATAGTGATCAATGATTGATGTGACAAAATCTTGTTCTCATCCACTCACAAAGTAATCGTACTCATTCGAAGCTTTCGGGATTTTTCTAAACACTCAAAATCTAATGAAATGAAAGAACAGAAAAACCCTTGAGTTGGTTGTGGAGTGTGTCCTTGAAAATCTTCAGCATCATAATCAACATCTTGATTCTCGGCAATTGGTCGATATCTCTTTCGTCCCAATCTCAACGATGGAGCTCGAAGTTTTTTCTTTAGGCTTGGATTCTTTTGCTTTATCGGTTTGAGTGTTGTCGTTGTATCTTCTAAAATTATTTCGTGATTAATTTAGCCTCACCATTCAATGAACCTACGCCTAAACGTTACGGTACTCAAAAATAGACTGTATTCGTCTTGAGTAAAACTCGAGCAGTCTAACTCGAGCGGGGGTCGAACTTGCCGCCTAGCGCCTGTTCACTTTAGAGACAAGCACGCAAACCGCAAGCCACGCAAGCCGCAAGCCAAATTAAACTCTTTGATCCCTTTGGAGAGAGTTTTAGAAAGCGATTATGCGAAAGGAAAACACTCTAGTCGAAAACAACCGACCCAACCAGTCTCTCTCAATGCCTAGTCAAGATGCTGAGACTTACAATAAGCCAACGTTTTGCCTTACAAATGCCAACGTTCTCAACGCCAACATTCTCAACGCCTACGTTCCCAGCGTCAACGTTCTCAACGTCAACGTTCTCAACGCCAAAGTTCTCAACGCCAACATTCTCAACGCCAAAGTTCTAACGCCAAAGTTCTCAACGCCAAAGTTCTCAACGCCAAAGTTCTCAACGCCAAAGTTCTTACAAATTACCAAATCTTATACTAAACGAACCCAGTTTCTCTATTGTTGTATCCACAGCTTCTGTCGTTGTCGACTCCGTCTGTGCCTCTGTGCTTGCCTCCGTGCTTGCCTCCGTGCTCACCTCCGTCGTCACTTCAGAAGTTTCTGAGGTCAAATCAAAATCAGATCCCTCTGTCGTCTTTTCATTCGTTTCTTCTGTCGTTGTGAACACTTGCGATTCATCCTTTTCAACCACAGTACTTGTCGATGTTGTCTCTTCATCTTCCTTTTCTATTATCTTTTCTGTCGTCTTTTCCTCCACTTCTTCATCAATTTCCTTCTCCTTTGTGTCCTTCTCTGGTCCGAATTCTTCCCCAAATTGCTTCACGATTTCCAGAATTTCTTTCGTCTTTTGTTTTTCAGCTGAACAGTCTGCTCCTTCTGTGTAAACATTCCTAAAAAAATCAAATTGTAATCATAAACTTTTTCCAAACCAAATAGCTTCCAATTCTTTTTGAGCATAATCAGGAAGAGTTGAGAATTCGTTGGGCAAGCCGCATTCTTTCGATTTTGAGCCGCCACTTTGAGTTTTAAGGTCGACAAAGCCAGTTGAGTTCTGAAAGGATTCACTGAGGGAGAGGAAGAAGGAGAGGAAAGAGGAAGAAGAAGAAGAAACAATGAAAAGTTTATTGTCAATCATTTTATTGCAGAATCTACTGAATAGGTAAAGGGGAATAGTCTGTAAAAGCTGCTATTGGGCAAGCTGGTTGAATCAGTTGCCAGTGCGTGGGATATCCTTTTAATGGGGTATCCTTTTAATGGGGTATCCTTTTAATGGGTATCCTTTTAATGGGTATCCTTTTAATGGGGTATTCTTTTAATGGGGTATCCTTTTAATGGGTATCCTTTTAATGGATATCCTTTTAATGGATATCCTTTTAATGGGATATCCTTTTCATGGGGTATCCTTTTAATGGGATATCCTTTTAATGGGATATTCTTTTAATGGGGTATTTAATGGGGTATCCTTTTAATGGTATCCTTTTATTGGATATCCTTTTAATGGGGTATCCTTTTAATGGGGTATCCTTTTAATGGGTATCCTTTTAATGGGTATCCTTTTAATGGTATCCTTTTAATGGTATCCTTTTAATGGGGTATCCTTTTAATGGGTATCCTTTGTATGGGGTATCTATCAGTCAATCAGTCAGTGATTGACTAAACTAGCAAACTTATCTTAAGGGTAATACTAAGCCTTCGGTACCGAAGGCCTATTTTAAGGCTAATACTAAGCCTTCGGTACCTAAATGCTAAACAAACCAAGTCAATGAAATTAGACAAAAGTCAAGCCGAAAACGAACTTGGTTTTGGATTGGGTTTTGGCTTGGTTGCTTGGTTTTGGCTTGGTTTTGGCTTGGATTATCAGATTGGAAATCAGTTCTAAGAGCAGGAAAACTTCTAGAAAAGAACAGAAGACTGAGCCGATTCCCGTACAAACCTCATTTGGCGCCACCACTCCCAAAGCGGCCAACAAAAAAAGCTTCTTCATCAGCGACGGTGTTTTCTCTTTCCCTCCGAATTTCGGGTTTCTAAATTTTTAAAGTTTTCATTTTTTTAGCGTAAACGAAAGCAAACCCATTATCATTCCATTCTAAAGTTGTATGCTTGAATAAAAAATGATTTGTATGATTTGTTAGGCTCATAATCGAAAGTTTAAGTTGAGAATAAAGTTTGGTACAAGTTTTTTTAGTTTTGTACAAGTTTTTCCAAGAAAAAAAGTGATGAGAGGATTTTTTTTCTGATCGAAAATCACGATTTTTCACTTTTACTCGATTTTTCAAGTGGCATTAAATCGAAAAGATTTACGAACGTCGGTTTTTCTTTCTTTTTCTTTTCATGTCGGTTTTCCAACTACTAAAACTTTACTCTTGACTAGAGTTAGAGTTCAAAGGTGAAATCAGCGTTTTGAGCTGAGAATGTAAAGGATTTCAATAAGAATTAGACTGAGAATGATTAAATTAGACGTGAGCTTTGTGCTTAAAGTGAAATTTTGTGCTTAAAATGAGATTTTGTGCTTAAAATGAGATTTTCCCTTTCTGGTGTACTCAGATTTCAATTTACTTGTCGAAAAATCGACATAAACAGAGAATTGCGTGCACCGAAGAACAAGAAGAAAGGATTTGTTGACAAAAAGCACAAAAAAACAGTTTACACTGTAAAGTTGTCTTGAATTTTAAAAAAATCCAAAGCGAAGTCTTGCAACAAGAACTTGAAACTTTGAAGTTTCAATGGCAAACCGCCGCGAGGAATCCTCACGTTTATTTGTCTTTTGAGAGTAAGTGGGGAGAGTGAAAGGGAAGTGAATGGCTTGTAAGGGAAAGAAGAGAAGAAGAAGAAGAAGAGAAGAAGAGGAGGGAAGAAGAAGAGGAAGAAGAAGAAGAAGAAGAAGAAGAAGAAGAAGAAGAAGAGAAGAAGAAGAGAGAAGAAGAAGAAGAAGAAGAAGAAGAAGAAGAAGAAGAAGAAGAAGAGGAAGAAGAGGAGGAAGAACTAAAAGTGGACTGGATGGCTTTGGACGGCATTTAGAAGAGGCTACATTCAATAAAAATTACAGAATAAAACATCGAATGAACAGGGAAAAAGGGACATCCGAGGTGGGCTTTGAGTTCAAGAAGTAGAAAGACGATCACAATAGGCAACACGTTCAACATCTCACCGATTTTGAAACCGGACCAGCAACAAAACGCACAAGAAGCCGTAGAATTCTAAGAAGAAGTATTTTTTATTTTTTCTTCTGGTATTACAGAGATCAGAGAAACATAAATATTTCACAAAGTCTCAATCTTCTTTCTCATCACTTTCTGCAAGATATTAAAGTCCAGAAAAGGTAAGATTGACATTTTTGTTTCGTTGAAATACTTGAAAGTCGTTCTTTTTTTGGCATATAAGAGATTTGGATTTAGATCATACACTCAGAAATGAGTTTGCCAGAAAGGAATTGTTTACTCAGGCTCAGGCTTAGGCTCAGCGCTCAGGCTTAGGCTCAGGCTCAGGCTTAGGCTCAGGCTTAGGCTCAGGCTCAGGCTCAGGCTCAGGCTTAGGCTCAGGCTCAGGCTTAGGCTCAGGCTCAGGCTTAGGCTCAGGCTCAGGCTTAGGCTCACGCTCAGGCTTAGGCTCAGGCTCAGGCTCAGGCTTAGGCTCAGGCTTAGGCTCACGCTCAGGCTTAGGCTCAGGCTCAGGCTCAGGCTTAGGCTTAGGCTTAGACTCAAGATTTAAAAGATCTTGTTCTGTTAGCCAAATCTTTTATCCAAGTCTATTGTAAGAGTTAGATTTTGAAGTACAACAGTACAGGGGAGTCAAAATTCAACAATATAAAGCTGTAAAGTCTCATTCGTTCTTTCCCAAGGTCTCTTTCCCAAAGTCTCAGTCTTTTGTCTCATTGGTCAGTTGGAGTAAAAAGTATCCCTTGGATTTTGGTTGGATTGGTTTAAAGTTTAAACCTAAAGTCATTTAGTTCTGATTCGGCATAAGTAATAGATTGGGATTTTGCATTAATTAGAGAATTGAATTTTCCAGAAAGAGTTTATGAACATTTCTTGTTGAATACAAGAAATTTGAGAGCTTTTTCGTGTTTTTTTGGTGACTTTTTATCCAAACATCTAAGAGTTAGGTTTAGAGTCGAAATTTTAAAATACTTTACGCAAATGTTCAAGAAATAAAGACTTATTTGTCTTTAAACATTAAAAGAACAAAGAGAAAAGTGAATCTCCGAAAAGAGAAAGGAAATTTCGAGTGGACTGGATGCAAATCTTCGAAAAGGAATGGCATTCAGAAGAAGCATTCAAAAAAAACAGGAACGAATGAAAGGAAAGATGAAGAATCCAATGGCATCCACTTCCATTTCTTATGATTGCTTTATGTACTCTTTCCTTTCTTCAGAACATTCTTCAGAAGACAACCTTCAGCTCAACTTCAGCTCAACCACTTTTCCTTCTCTTTTGTGACACTTAAGTCTTTTTTTTTAAAAGAGAAAGCACTGAATTCACTTTCAGAGCTGAATAGCCTTGGGATTGGTCGAGTGAAAGGGGAAAACTTCTATATTAGAGAAAGTATTAGGGAAAGCTTTTGATAAATGATCACGAATAGCAATTGACCTTTGAAAGGACATTTTTTGACCTATCAACTGTGCTTGAGTAAAGCACAATTTTCTGAGGAAAAATTCAGCTAAATAGTTGGCATAAAATAGGCATACAATAAGTTAATAAGCTGGAAAGAGTTTAAAAATCAAAAATACTACTTCGCTGGACAGAAAATCAAAAATACTACTTCGCTGGACAGAAATCAAAAATACTACTTCGCCTCATTCGAAAGCTTGTAAAATGAGTTGCATAACACCGATTGTAAAGGTTTTAGTAGAAAAATAAAGGCAAGATTAATGGCTGCAAATCTCTATCGAACACTTGACACTTTTGAAATAAGTTAAGCATTTGGCAGCTAGCATTTGGCAGCTAGCATTTGGCAGCTAGCATTTGGCAGCTAGCATTTGGCAGCTAGCATTTGGCAGCTTTCTGAAAAGAAGTTGAATGATTTTGGATTCTGTACAATTAGAATTAAAAAGAATCCAGATTCCATCCATTTCAGTATCCTCTTTTGGCTTTTTCTCAAAGAAAAAACAATGTTTATCGCTTTCGAATTCGTCAAAGCTAAAGTTTTCGTGGATTTGTGTGTTAGAAATCTTTTGAAAAGTTCTTTTGACTGAATGTGGTGGATAGCCACTGAAAAATTACCTAACTCTGACAACCTAAAAATTGGAAAAGTATTGCGGAAATCCGTGCGCCTTCATTCTATTGGGTTGTTGAATTGAAAACTGCGGGACTTTGAACTAAAATTTATTCAACATAAAACCATAAATTCATTCCAAATAATTTCCATTATTATTGACGACTTCTGCCCATTTTACAGGCTATTTGCGGATTCCTCTTTCATAGTAGGATTTTGGTTTTGAATCGAGAAACTTTCAAAGCCAATTTTTGACTGCTTCTTCCGAATCGAAGTGTTCTCCCGCAAGCTCATTACTCATGATCCGGAATAAATAGTAATCAAAATAAATAGTAATCAAAAGGGGCGAGGTCCGGACTGTATGGGGATGCGACAAAATTTCCCAAACAAGGCTATTTATTTTGGAGCGAGTCAGTTTTGCAACATGAGGGCGCGCGTTGTCGTGGAGGAGAACGATCTTTGACTTGGAGGGCCTATTCTTCTTCAGGAGCTTTGAAGCTTTAGCTGCAAACTATTGGGTTGGTGAATTGAAAACTACGGGACTTTGAACTAAAATTTATTCAACATAAAACCATAAATTGATTCCAAATAATTTCCATTATTATTGACGACTTCTGCCCATTTTACAGGCAATTTGATTCCTCTTTCGTAGTAGGATTTTGGTTTGTGTGTGAGACAAGTGGAGACTCAAAAATGGAGGACCGGAGATGTCCCAGTTTGAGCACTTTCTTCAAAAGAGACCCATTTTGGTGTCAATAGAAAAGTTGTAAAGAATCAAATATGAGGCTTATAGCCAAATTTTCAAAAAGATACACTTAGTAGTTTCGCTTAAAATGCAAGTTTTGTGAAAATTCGTAATTTTGGCGTAAATTTGGCATTTCTTGAAAACCAGTTTTTGGAATCATTCTGAAAATTTGGATATAAGCTTGATTTTTGATTCTCTACAACTTTTCCATTGACACCAAAATGGGTTTCTTTTGAAGAAAGTGCTCAAACTGTCACATCTGGCAATAGCCGGCAGTTTTCAATTCACCAATCCAATATTTCGCGTCCCAAATCATTTATTGTTTTGTAGCTCGTTAGCTGAATATCTTGTGTTAAAGGCCTATATATAAGGCAACAGTTGTTTATCTGATGTGATTAACCTTTTTTTTGTTTTCTTTTCATCGTGTGAAAGTTGTGTCCTAATTAAGACGAAATTCCTTTCGAAAAGACGAAATTTCTGTTTTTGTCGTCGCTTTTTAATTTAATTGTCGATTTTGTGTGTAAATTGCTCAAGTGAGAGCCCAAAACTTCCGAGTCAGTCGATTGAATTGCTATTGAATAAAGTGCCTTTAGTTGAAGTGAGATCAGAAATCTCGAAACAAGAAATAACGTGTGCTTGAGTGAAGAGCACCAAGCACGCCAAAGAATTTTTCTTTACACCATACATTGTTTTAGTTGGGCACTAAATTAAGTCAAAATATTCAACTTTTCAATGACTTTTTGTTATTTATTTTGCAGAAACTTGTAAAATTTGGTCCTAGTTTTCAAGAGGAGATGCAGGGTTGAGCAAAGTCACCCACAAACGAGCGTTCTTCCTTGTAGCTTTACTGCCAGCTAACTTTACTGCCAGCTAACTTTACTGCCAGATAACTTTACTGCCAGATAGCTTTACTGCCGGATAACTTTACTGCCAGATAACTTTACCGGATAATTCTTCATAGAATAAATTTATTAATTTCTTAATCTATTGAGAGATTACCGAAAAGAAAAATCCGTTTGCCGGCTTTTTTTTTGACTGAATTGTTGGCCGGCTGAGTCGAAAACTATTTCATTGAGGCTTAAGTTGCTGGAATAAATGAGCGCATTGTCCTGTTGAATCAAGAGAATGTGTTGCCTGGAATTCTCTTGATTCTCTGGAATCGAGTTGCCTGGAATTCTCTTGATTCTCTGGAATCGAGTTGCCTGGAATTCTCTTGATTCTCTGGAATCGAGTTGCCTGGAATTCTCTTGATTCAACAGGACAATGCGCCCATTTATTCCAGCAACTTTACAAAACAATCGATGGCAGCGAATTGATGGCAACAATCCAATGTTGAAATTGATAGGCTTTTTGAAGGCTTTTGAAGGCTTTTTTGAATTGATAGGCTGCCAGAAATGGAAGCAAACTTGTATCCAAAACATCTAGTCTTGGCTGTAGTAGTCTTGGCTGTTCATTCGGTTGGAGAGAAAGCGCCAAATCGGCCAACCCATCGGCACAGATAGAGTGTGCTCCTTGTTGACAGAGAATCTGTCAGACAAATCTGCCTTGTCAACAATTGATCAGACAATCTAAACCAACAATAATCATTACAGAAAAGAAAATAGAATAGAAAAGTAATAGAATAGTAATAGTAATAGAAAAAAAGCGCAAGATTTTAATGTAAATTTGCGTTTTGAAAAATTTGTTGATGCAAAGCATAGGGTTACGGTAGCTTATCTTTGGCACGCGCTTTTTAGAAAATACGTTGTCTGCAAGGAACACACTCTAGGCACAGAAAGCTGCGCGGCAGATGAAATTTCCTCCTCCGAAATTTCTTTCGCCAAAAACAATTGGATGTTTCCTTGTTGGATTGGATTGTTGGTTTGGATTGGATCTCCTGTAAAGAGTCCCCAAGCACGCCAAAGAATATTTCTTTACACTGAATAAATAGAACTTTATTGCATATCAATTCAAATCGATCAATTCAAATCCAGTGCAATGAATGCCGAGTTTTTGAAATTGGGGAAATTGGGGAAATTTGTCAGATTTTTGTGTAATCATATTGCAAAATACATCTCAAAGTGGCACATTTCTACCGCGTTCAAGCAAAAAAATCGTTCTACAAGAGAAAAAACAAACGTTCTACAAGAACAAATCTAAAAGAAAAACACTAAACACAGCGATACAATACAATTGAATTGAGCGACTGAGCATTCGGGGGAAAACGAGGATTTTTAGAAGAAAGGATTTCAAGTTTTAGAATTTTTCTTCTCTTAAATTTATCAAAAAGCTTTAATATTTCAATGTGGATTGAAGAAACCGTAAAAATAAACGTAAATAAGAAAAACAAACGCAAAAACGAAACGATAGACTCCAAAAAAAGAATCACAGGCATTCGGTAAAGGTAAAAGAATTCGGTAAAGGTTTTGAGATTGAGTCCATCGTCCATCGGGTTTTACGGGTGCATTTTGGGTTATGAAAACTGAGAAATTTTTCTGGGCAATGAGAATCTTGTTTCTTTTTTGTTTTTCTTTTCAAAATTTAGCATAATGGCTGAACGTCGGCGATTTTACCGCTCGTTTCGACCATTCGAATCTCGTCAATGGCACAAGCACCCTGGTTGGTGCGTGTGTTCTCACAAACGAAAATCACCTGAAATCGAGGGTTTTTTTTGGAGATTTTGAACCTTTTTATTGGTTTGAACCTAACCTTTACAAACTCTCTCTTTCCACCCTCATTAATCGCGACTTTTCTTCGCATCGTTATGCAAATTTTGTGTGAAATGCAAAGCTGTTTAGTTTTGCGTGGATGAGAGGCACAAGTACCCACTGGACACACTGGACGCTCTACAAACTACAAAATCAGACTAAAGTCGCTTAGAAGCGCGCAGGATGGCGTGAAGCTAAAGTCGCGTAGAAACGCGTAGAATGACGATTTTTACAAGCTGTTTTAGCCGAAAAATCGAGTCAACTTTGAGCTTTTGAATGTCAGATATATCACAGATAGGGGCGCTACAAAGGGGCACAAGGGACGCTACAAACTACAAGGTTAGACTACAAAAGCTTGTAGAAACGCGTAAAATGACGATTTTGACGACAAAATGACGACAAGCTGTTTCTAGCCGAAAAATCGAGTCAACTTTGAGCTTTTTAATGACACCAAGATCAGAACAATCCATCATTTTTACTCTGAGAACAACAAGATCAGACTAATTCACCATCTCTGCTTCAAGAACGATTGTTGATCGTGGATTGTTGATGGTGGATTGATGATGGTGAATTGTTGATAGTGGATTATTCAATACTCTTCAATATTTTGCAGTTTTTAGTCTCTTCCCATGGGATAAGACTATAAACTTGGAAAAAAAACGTTAGACTTTAGTGCAGAGATGGTGGATTTTTCTGGTCTTAGTGCCATTCAAAAGCTCAAAATTGGATCGATTTTTTGGGTAAAAACAGCTTGTAAAAATCGCCATTCTACACTTTCCAAAAGCGTTTGGAGTCTGATCTTGTAGTTTGAATTGAAAACTGCGGGCTATTGTCATATGTGACAATTTGAGCACTTTCTTCAAAAGAAACCATTTTGGTGTCAATGGAAAAGTTGTAGAGAATCAAAAATCAAGCTTATATCCAAATTTTCAGAGCCATTCAAAAACTGGTTTTCAAGAAGTGCCAAATTTTCGAATGCCAATGCGAATTTTCACAAAACTTGCATTTTAAGCGAAACTACTAAGTGTATCTTTTTGGAAATTTGGCTATAAGCCTAATTTTTGATTCTCTACAACTTTTCTATTGATACCAAAATGGGTTTCTTTTGAAGAAAGTGCTCAAACTGGGATCTCCAGTCTCCATCTCCAGTCCTCCATTTTTGAGTCTCACACTTGTCTCACACACAGACCAAAATCCTACTACGAAAGCGGAATCCGCAAATTGCCTGTAAAATGGGCAGAAGTCGTCAATAATAATGGAAATTATTTGGAATGAATTGATGGTTTTATGTTGAATAAATTTTAGTTCAAAGTCCCGTTTCAAATTCAAAGTCAAAGTTTTCAATTCACCAACCCAATAGATACATTTGAGGCTTTAAGAAAACTTTAGAATACACATTTTTACATTTTCTTCATCCATTTAGCAATCTTTTCAATCACTCCACCTTTTCTGTGCCTTTCGGACACTTCAACGAAGCGGTCTTCCAGATTCGATCATTCACCGTCACAAATTTGTCCGATTGGAAAGGACAAGAGTCGAGCGAATCACAGCAACCCTGAATTTAGGTTAATTTGCTTGATTTGCTTAATTTGCTTAATTATCACTTATTATTGGCTATTTATGATTGATTTATGATTTATTTCCGATTTATGACTTACTTTAAGCTGTACTCCGTGTGTTCCCTCATAATAATGGAATCTCATTCGGGAGTTCTCGGTGAAAGGTGCGTTTTTCACCTCCAAACCGGCCATTTCTCGTGGGAATAAGAAGGTGGCCGCGTAGAATTGGCCTTCTGAAATTCTTTTTTTCTTATTTGTAATTCTTTTTGTAATTGTTATGGTTGAATATTATCATTTTTTTTCCTTCTTCTTACCAATGCTCTCTTTAACTCCAGTGACTCGGTTCATGAATTGCCCGGAAACGACTTGGAATTTCGTGGTGAGCCCACGGATCGACTGGGTTTGATGAGCGTCCTTGTAGTGGCAAGTGGTGCCTAAAACTTATGCTAAAACTGAAGCTTATGGCTTAAAATAGATGCTAAATAGATCTTCGATTAGATCTTAGATTAGAGCTTAGATTAGAGCTTAGATTAGAGCTTAGATTAGAACTTAGATTAGATCATCTTAGATCTCAGATTAGATCATCTTAGAGCTTAGACAAACTATGAATTAGATCTTAATTAGATGATTACAAATTAGATATTTTTCAAGGTTTACAGAATGTCTCAAAATTATTGCAATAACTATTGTTGCTTGTTATTTCTCTCTCATTGCCTTGATTGAAATAATTTTGTATCAATCGACAGAAGAAGAAATGACGAATCTAATGATACAAAAGCTATTTCAATCAAGCAACTGAACGCCAAGATATTTGAGTTTAAAGTTGGATTGTCAAGCAAAAAGCGAGCTGAAATCAAATGCGAAATAACCTCTGAAATTCCGCTAATTTAAACACCTTGGATTATTCTATTTAGCCGATATTAGAAATAAAGATTTACTCTAAAAAACGCTAGCACTTTAGGCAGGCTTAGGCTCAGGCTCAGGCTTAGGCTCAGGCTCAGGCTTAGGCTTAGGCTTAGGCTTAGGCTCAGGCTTAGGCTCAGGCTTAGGCTTAGGCTTAGGCTTAGGCTTAGGCTTAGGCTTAGGCTTAGGCTTATCGTTTCGTTTAATCGTTTTGTTTAATCGTTCGTTGAAATGCTATTTGATTAGGTTTAAAACGAGATTTTACTTGATGCTATACAAAAAAAAGTTTTGATAATTAAACGAAACGATTAAACGTTTCAATAAAACGATTAAGAAGTTAAGTAAAACGATAAACAGTTAAATGAAACGATAAACAGTTAAATAAATGTATAAGGCTCAGTTTAGGTCATTTTAAAACATAAACTTTATTAAACTATTGCTTAATAACGAAAAAATCTGTCGGTTCTTTTTGCCGTTGGCAAATGTTGATTTTTCGTGTTTTTCTCAGCACTAACTCTTCTATTTGGACTATTTTAACTATCAGTCGACGCAGAATGAAATTACGCGTTGAATGATACCAAAATCAACTAAAAATATAATAGCCACGCAAAGTTATGAAGCGAAAGGTTAAGTCCAGCCTTTGATGGGCGGGGTTTAGATTTTTAGTCAATAACTTTGTGTAGATATTATATTTTGAGTTAATTTTGGTATCATTCGACGCGCATTTTTATTCTGCATCGAAAAACTAAAACGATAGGATATGTTAGAAGTCTTTTGGCTCACCATCTTCAAAATCGCATTTAGTGTTCTCACAGATATCCTTGCTGAACGCTTCACTGCCCGATGCCAAAACGGTTTGCTCGCCGAGTGCTTTGCGAACGGATTCAACCTAAAAAAATTCTACAATGGTACAATTGATTTATCTTTTAAGATTTGTCTTGTGATCTTGTGATCTTGTGAACTTGTGATCTTGCTACCTTGTGATCTTGTTATCTTGTTGCCTTGTTATCTTGCTATCTTGCTGTTTTGTTATCTTGCTATTTTGCTATCTTGTGAACTTGTTATCTTGCTATCTTGCTATCTTGCTATCTTGCTATCTTGTTATCTTGCTACCTTGTGATCTTGTGATCTTGTTACCTTATTACAGCATTGCATATCTTGTTAGCTTAATATTTTCACCAACCACACGATCATCTGGATGCTCCTCGTGCTCTTCAACCCGCTCATTCTCCACTTCCTCCTCGATCTTCATGTTCAATCTCTTTTGAATCTTTTCTTTTCTGCCAGCAAGGTCTAAAACGTTTCCATTTTACTATTAAACATTATTTATAAACATTATTTTTTGATTCAATTTTTAGATTAGCATTATTTGCATGAAAAAATCTTTGAAAAACCTTTCTCAGCTTGCGTTAAGCTCTTCTCCGAAATCCTCGCAATCTTTCCTCCAGAATTTGTTTCTAAAATAATTGACTGGTTAAATCATTTTTAAAAGAGAATACAATGAGAATCGGATTTGCATTTCTAAGGCACAATTTCTAAGGCACAATTCAATTTCAAATTCACCCACCAACAGTCAATCTCTGCGCTGCCTCAGCTCCGTTCTCTTCTTTCTGACATTCAAGACCATCCGAATCATATGAGATCTAAAGGTTTTTATGTCAATTTAGATCAAGTTTGGATTTAGGTTTAGATTGGTTAGGTTTGGGTGGGTTGTTTGCGGCTTTAGTGGGGGGTTTGGTTGGCTTTGCGTGGTTTGTTTGTTGTGTCAGTTTACGGACAAGTTTGATTTAGGTTTAGATTTAGGTTTAGCTTTAAGCTTAGATTTAGGTTTAGAGCAAGTTTAGCTTTAAGTTTAGATTTAGGTTTAGCTTTAAGCTTAGATCAAGTTTAGATCAAGTTTAGATCAAGTTTAGATCAAGTTTAAACCAAGTTAAAATCAATTTAGTTTTGAAAATTTTGAAACAAACCTCAATGTCATCAAGAATGGCAATGTCTCCGTTCTCGCCAACAAAATTTGAAGCGACAAAGATGATCTGAAAATTTGGAGTAGGGGAAAAAGAGCATCAAAGCGTTGGAATAGTTTAGTTGTTTTGTTGAATAAACTACCGTAAATACTGTAATAGTACCCCACCGCCCTCGTACAGGCGCGTAGTCGCAAAAGTTTTTTAGTTAGTATTTCATTTTTTTCAAAGCCCTCGTACTTTCAAAAAATGCGTCTTTGGTATCAAAAAATAGCCCTGAATCTCAGCTATTTTTTGATACCTAAACGCGCATTGTAGCATAAACCAGTGTCGAGAAAAACTCGTTCAAAGCTAGAGCTACGCAACACTCCGCACCGTCATTATGGGGCTGGGGTACTATTACAGTATTTACGGTAGATAGACTTTCAACTAGGCACAACTAGGAAAGGATCTTACGAATATCTTTATGAATCTTACGTCAACGAGAGAAGCTTTGGGCAAAACGAGTTCGGTTGTGCCCATTCCGGTGACCATCGGGAACTCCTGGCAGTTGAGGAGTGGATTGAAATTGACAGTGTTTGGGAAAGATTCCCGTTGGCACACTTGCAGCAACACGTTTTCCGATTGCCAATGCCTGAAGTGTGCAATATTTACAGACTGGCTTCATATAGGGAAATCTAATAGACTTAGAATCTTATAAACTAAGAATCTTATGGACTTAGAATCTAATAGACTTAGAATCTAATAGACTTAGAATCTAATAGACTTAGAATCTAAGAGACTTCGAATCCAATAGACTTAGAATCCTATAAACTTAGAATCTTATAGACTTAGAATCTTATAGAATCTATAAACTGATCTAACAAGTGTGAAAAGTGTGAGCGAAACAATTCTTATTGATAATGGCAATGTAAAACCTTACTTGGCTCTAACGGTGATCGGCGAAGAAGCGCAAGCGATTGAGCACGAGGCGAATTGAGCCTCATCAGATGGAGCAGCTCCTCGAGCATAGGCGATCAGATAGCTGCCTTCTGAAATGATCGGAAATTGTCGAATGAACAAGTACTCCTTGTACACTTTGTACAAGTACTCCTTTAGATTTAATTTATCTCTTGATCTCCATCTTTAAACCCCTGATCTCCATTTTCCTCTTGATCCTCTTGAGCTCCATTTTCCTTATACAAAAACTAATCTTCGATCAATCAAAGGAAGCGATCAAAGGGCTAAAGGGTGAAACCAGCTGAGAAACTTAACCTATTTCTCTTTTAAACCATTTTTTGAAGACAGAACTTGAAAAAGGTTAGAAGGTGAAGTTTAAAACGTTTCTATGTCAAAGCTTTTGATGAAAAGGTTGAAAAGTCAAAGTTCAAAGCATTTCTATTGATTGATTGATTGATTGATTCCTTCGAATTTCGAATTCTTTTAATTCTAGAAGAATTATAAATTTGTTTAGGATTAGGAGAAAGGTTAGAAGGCGACGTTTAAAACGTTTCTATGTCAAAGCTTTTGATGAAAAGGTTCAAAAGTCAAAGATTCAAACGTTTCTTTGTCAAAACTTTCCTTGAAAAGGTTAGAAGGCAAAGTTCAGAACGTTTCTATGTCAAAGCTTTTGATGAAAAGGTTGAAAAGTCAAAGTTTAAAACGTTTCTATGTCTAAACTTTCCTTGAAAGGTTCAAGAGTCAAAGCTCAGAACGTTTCTATGTCAAAACTTTTGATGAAAAAGTTGAAAAGTCAAAGTTCAAAGCATTTCTATGTAGACATTGATTGGTTGATTGATTGATTCCTTTGAATTTCTAATTCTTCTAATTCTAAAATCTATAACTATTTCTAAAATTGATTCCTTAAACTCAATGTTTCAATATCCCTTCAAAATTTCATTGGCATTCCTCAGAAATCCCGTTTTTTTCAAAAAGATAAGAGTAGGAGATTTCTTTTGAAGAGTGAAAGAGGGATAGCCTATAGCCGAGTAAGAGATTTTCTTTTGAAGAGTGAAAGAGAGCTAGCCTATATCCTTTAGTAAAAGAGGGCTAGCCTTTAGCCATTGTCTGATAGAATCACTCAAAGGAACCAGTCCTTTCGACAAAAAAAGGCAAAAGCCAAAAAAGCCAAAAAAAGCCAAAAAAGCCAAAAAAGCCAAAAAAAAGCCAAAAAAGCCAAAAAAATCTTTTACAGACTGCCACTAGAAGGTTTTCATTATGACTAAGATGAAGTGATTTGATTTGAAAGTTTCATTTGATTTTCTAGCATTCACGTCATAATTCAAAGTGAATGACGTCTTGAAAATAGCTCAAAAACTTGATAATGATTTGATTTTGATAGAGAAAGCTATGCTCATGATGGAAGATATTTGATTAGTTTCAAATAAATCATAAAAACAGTCAAACTCTTCGATTCTTCACTATTTTAAGCTTTAAACAAACAAAGTCTTGATTCTGGACAAGCTAAAACTATCAAATCTCTCTGATAGAATGGGTTTTTTGATTTGTTTAATTGATTCAATCAATCAAATTCTTAAGATTTAACATCTGAGCTTTATACTAGACGTACAAAGTACAACGTACAAAGTTTGTACGGCAAATAAAGCTTTGAAAAGGGTTGATCTTTGTCAATCAAAACTTTACCTGGAGCTGGCGCATTCTGGAAATATGGAGTGTCAGGCTTTCCGGTGGCAATTTGCCAATCGAGCTGATCATCGGGTGGCGGGAGATTCGCCCAACAACATGGTCGTCCATCCATGTAACATGACAGAGCAGCTCCTGTAAATCATATTTGTTTACAGTGGACTTTGGATAGGGTATTGGATGTTTGTTTGTCAAAATTCCGTATAAAAACTTGTTTCTTGGTTTATTGATTAATGGTTTAACTCAATAAAGTACTTTAAAACATAAAAAACATCAAAAGTTAAACAATGAAGAAGAGAAGGAAGAGGAAGAAGAGAGAAGGAAGAAGAGAAAGAAGAGGAAGAAGAAGAAGAGGAGAAGAAGAAGAAGAGGAAGGAAGGGAAGGAGAAGAGAAGGAAGAAGAAGAGAAGAAGAGGAGAAGAAGAAGAAGAAGAGGGAAGAAGAAGAAGAGGAAGAAGGGGAAGAAGAGAAGGAGAAGAGGAAGGAAGAGGAAGAAGAAGAGGAAGAAGAAGAGAAGGAAGAAGGAAGAAGAAGAGAGGAAGAAGAAGAAGAAGAGGAAGAAGAAGAAGAAGAGAAGAGAAGAGGAAGAGAAGAAGAAGAGGAAGAGGAGAGGAAGAAGAAGAAGAGGAAGAAGAGGAAGAAGAAGAAGAAGAAAGAAGAAGAAGAGGGAAGAAGAAGAAGAAGAAGAAGAAGAAGAGGAAGAAGAAGAAAGGAAAGAAGACGAAGAAGAAAAGAAAGAAGACGAAGAAG